TTTCATACTCCCAGAAGGAATGTTAACATTTCCTTTTCATTAACTGGGAAGATTTACATCTAATCTGTCACTTTGAAGTAACTCCTGTTTTGATGTATGCACAGCAGATGTTACTGTAGAGTATTTAAAAATAACGCTAATGGGTAGACGTCTCTAAGGGAACTTATTCTACCAACACATTTGCCTTAAAAGACGGTGAAAATAACCAAGTCAAAAACCATAGGTTTCAGGAATCACAGTCTAGTCAAGATGTATCATAAACTGGTATGACTTTTGTTTTGTTTTTCATTACAATGGACAATTTATTTAGTTTTATTGTAAAGCGTGATTAGTATGCATACATCAGCCAATTCCAGAAGACTTTCTTCTTTCTAGAGCCATCCTTTGACAGGCCACTATTTGCTTCTGCTGCTTTTTGTCCACTGAAGTAAAAAACAAAAAAACAAAAAACCGCTAATTGGAAGTGTGAGGGGAACATGAACTTACACAAATCTGAACTTCTGCCATTATATTTAATTGCATTTTTAAATGATCCAGCTTATTTCAAATACTGTATTATTATCAGATGGAGGCCTTTATTCAAACATGAGATCTGAGGCAATTGCTTCCATATATATATATATATTTAAAAAACCCAGCCAATTTGGTCTAGTGGTTAAGACTGTGAGTTCAAATCCCACCTTAGCCATGAAAGGCAGCTGGGTTATTTTGGGCCAGTCACTCTCGCTTGGCTAACCCACATCACAGGGTTGTTGTTGTTGTTGTTGTTGTGGGGAAAATAAGAGGAGGAAGGTGTGCTGGATATGTTTGCCACCTTGAGTTATTTGTAAAAATAATGAAGTGCTATACAAATTAAATAAATATGAAAAAGTTCTACTTGGAAGAATATGTGAGTCTTTCCAATATCAGATAAAATTGGTAAGAGAAGGCAAAAAGGATAACAGATTGGAAAGGATCCACTTATTCCTGCTGTCAATTTCCTCAGAGATTCAGTAGAATATCCAGTGCGGTTCATTAAATACATCAAAATGTCTCTTTTTTAGTCATTGGCACTAAAAAAAAAATAAGGCTTTGTGGAGGAACAGGGAAACCATCTTTTTTGTGTACATCCTTCAGCACTGAATTGAACAGAAGTATAATTTACATTGTTTTTTACTTTATGTTTCAAGTAGGCAAATAAAATAGGATTTTTTTTCTTTTTTTGGAAGGGGGGAAGGGCTTTAAATCTGAATTTGCTTTATCATCTCAGACCAGTATTTGGCTGGACCTCTTGTAGTGGCAGGACAGACTCACTATGAAGTAAAGCGTATTCTTGATTCAAGAATTTTTAAAGGGAAATTGCAGTACTTAGTGCAATGGAAGGGATATCTTTTGCCTGAAGCCAAATTGGTGAAATCTAGCAATGTAAAAGCTGACAGACTCATTAATAGGTTCTATAAGAAACACCTTAACAAACCAAGAGGCAACCCCTAACCTGTGCTTTTGTTTGCATTGCAGGATTTGTCATTTTTGTAAGGGAGGTCGGATGTCAACGCTGCTAACATCAGATGTTCTTGCTTTGACAACAGATGGAAATGCAGCCATTTTTCTCTATTGCTTTTAGAGTTAGTTGATGCTGGGAGGGGGAATGTGGATCAGAGTCCAGCTAGTCATAACAATAATAACTCAGCCATGAGAACCCAAGGTCATTGGGCCCAGAGTTGATAAGAGTTTTGGCAGACTGGAGAGCTGGGGGAAAAGCCCACACTTCAAGCTAATTGGGGAATATGATTTATGATTGTTTATTGGAAGAGGGAATTGTGCTTTGTTACTTTGTATCCAGGGGAGGGGTATTTAGTTTTTGGTTTCGACTATGTAGTGCTAATAGTTTGTTTCTCGAATAAAAGATTCTTTAAGGTAAACAATGCCTTGAAGTTCTTTTGAAGAGTTCTATCTGTCAGAACCATGACACTTGATGCAAGGCTTCTGGTAACATAGCTCAATATTGTCTTGATTTTTTTAACTGCTGCTTGTTCATGTTCTGTTGTGATCCGTTAATATTCCTAGAATTGGGTTACCCAATATTCCTCCTAAAGAACTAAGTCATGCAGTCAGAATTCTTATGACTCATAAAGTAGCAAAATACCTTAGCAACAATCATTCACGCCTTCATCACATTCTGCTTGGACCAAGGTAACATGTTCTATTTGGAGCTGCTTCAAAGAAACTTCAACTGGTATAGACATGTGAAAGTAATTTATTTTGAGGACTGATTACTTATATGAGTCAGGGGACAATGCAAAGTATTGGTTATCACCTATAAAAAAATTAAGCCTTTGGAAAAAATTATTTGATCCCCTGCTGATTTTGTACATTTGCCCACTGATCAATCTATAATTTTAATGGCAGGTTTATTTTAACAGTGAGAAACAGAATAACAACAACAAATCCAGAAAAACGCATTTCAAAAAAGTTAGGGTTAACGTTGACTCAGCCTTCCATCCTTCCAAGGTCAGTAAAATGAGGACCCAGATTGTGGAGGGCAATAGGCTGACTCTGTAAACTGCTTAAAGAGGGCTGTAAAGCACTGTGAAGCGGTATATAACTCTATGTGTTATTGCTACTATTGCTATCTATCTGTCTGTCTGTCTATCCATCATCTATTTATCTATGACATTCCAAAATCAAAAGCACTGGAAAATCGTATAAGTAATATTTCTGGTTCACAATTTTTAACTATGAAAAAGAAAAAAGAATAAAAGATCCAGAATATTTTTTTCAGTAGGCTTTTCTAAAACTAAAAGAAATAAAATGTTAGTTTGGCATTATGAATCTAATTTCTTATTTTTCTTTATATTTCTACAATTCCACACTTTGGTAATATCTATTAATTTTTAATGGTAGCCCTCAAAGCTAATTCCAGTAAAGTCTCCGGTAATACAGTAAGTGAAACTCCCAAACACATTCCATTTTGCCTTCACTGGAGGTTTCCAAACAACTCACAGTATTGGTGGTCTTTGAGTTGTCCTAATAGAATTTAGAAATTATTTAGAACTTGAACCCACCCTATTCAAATAAGATCCTGTTTGAAATATGGTTACTCTATTAATTAATTGGCAGGCTCCTATACCTTTTTTTAGACCTATACACACAAGCGTAATTCCATTCGTAGAGCTTTTCTGGAATGAAGTTGCAGCCATGGGATTAGCTTCACCTGTTGAATTCTAACCTATTGCGCAAGGGTTAAATGCACTAGACTAGATGCTAAACTAAGCATTCCCTACACTGAACAGTCGTAACCATCATTTGGCCACCACAATTAGCTAAGTTGCATCTCTTTTTAACGAATCATGAGACAAATAAGATAACTATCACTTTCACATCATTGACTAAAACTGTAATTCTGGTTGTGTCCACAATGAGTCATTGTTTGTTTAACCACAGTACATCAAATAACTGGCTGCATTAATGCAACGTGTTAAGTCAAAACCAAGTATCACATTAAATCTTGGCGTTGTGTGAGCCCATTTTGTGAATATATGATACTAAACTAGATTTCTTCAATCTGATGTTCTCCAGATGAGCTAGCCTAACTGTACGGTTAAGGGGAAAATGGAACACGTCTAAGAGAGTACAGATTGAAGAATAGTCTCGGTTGAACTAGAGATGAACTTTGCTCAAAACCAACATGAAGACAAGTCTCATGTTATAGAAAAGTAAGTCTTTCCTGCCCCAATAGTCCAAGGTAAAACTACCTGGTATAGATGCCAGATGAAGAATTAGGAGGAACAAAGGAGGTGAGGATAGACACACAGTGTCTAGCTAGTCGAAATAATATTGACACACCTTCTCCGCCCTGAAGATGGAATGCAATTCAATGGATGTATATTAAAAATTATTTCCAGTCCATTTTACAAGTCCACACATTTCTCACACACACTCAGAATGAACCCAGCAGAAGGCACCAGGGTCACACCAGCTCTCCCTCACCACACCTAGCCTTTCTCCAATTAGTTACATTCTGCAGGCATCATGTTAGCATGGGCCAGCCTTTCCCAAACTAGTTGCAAAGGGAGAGTTGGCGGGTGGGAGTGGAGGTCTGAGGCATCTGGAGAACACTAAGTTAAAGGCAGCAGAACTGTGGACAGGGTACCAACTCTACTGAAGCTCCAATACTTTGGCCACCTAATGGAAAGAGAGGACTCCTAGGAACAGACCCTGATGTTGGGAAAGATTGAAGGCAAAAGGAGAAGGGAACAGCAGAGGATGAGATGGTTAGATAGTGTCATCAACACAGTGGGCATGAGTTTGGGCAGACTCAGGGAGACTGTGTGGAACGACTTGCCTCCAGAAGTTGTGGGTGCTCCAACACTGGAAGTTTTTAAGAAGAGACTGGACAACCATTTGTCTGAAATGGTATAGGGTTTCCTGTCCCAGCAGGGGGTTGGACTAGAAGACCTCCAGCATCCCTTTCAACTTTGTGGAGGAGAGAGGGACAGACGTTGCATGTTGTGGTCCATGGAATCACAAAGAGTTGGACAGGACTTAGCAACTGAACAACAACAACCAATTCTACACCAGCCTAACTTTGGAAAAGGGAAGCCTGCTCAACCCACATTTCCTGCCCATGGAGACAAAATGCTGAGGGAAAAGCGGACCCAGGCAGTGGTTCCCTCCCGGCTGATCCTCTTCAACCGGAGATGCCAGAAGACTCAACCTGGCACGTGCCTCCTGCCAAGCAGCTTCCGATCCCTTCTTTATGCATCAGCTCCCGAGAGGAACTTCATTAAAAGTTACTGATTCCCGCCCGTTTCAACAATTTTGCAAGATTTTTGCTCCCCCTCCCCGCCGCCCCGCCAGAGCCAATGTGGCTGGGGAATACGGACCCCTCACGATCAAGCTCGGGACGGCCGAGGGCTCCTTTTTTTCGGGCCGCGGATCCCCAAGAGGCCCCCGGTCCCAAAAGAGTTCGGGCGGACAGTTTTCTTCGCGAGTTCGCGCCCAGCCTCTGCCCCACTCACCAGCGCTCGTTCCGCTCGCTTTCGACGCCTCTCCTCAGCCGAGACAGCGCCTCAGAAACGCGGGACCGCAACCCCTCCGCCGCCAGGGAGGGCCGGGGCGGAGGGCCTTGGAAGGCGCTTACGCCTCGCGCGCTGCTGAGGCGGGGTTTTACCTGCCCGGGAGTGAGTGAAACCTGCAAGGCGGGTCTCCTCCCTGGCGAAGAAATCCGCGCACTGGAAGAACGGTAGGGGGTACCCACTTTCTCCCCCCCGTCCCCCGTCCCCCAGTTGAGCTCGTCCCGGTCCCAAACTTGAGCCGGCTCTTAAAATGTCTTGGCCGTGGTCTCCAAAGGGCAATTTGATGAAACACGAAGCAGCACGGCAGGAGCGGTCGGTCCGTGTCAACTGAAAGTCAAGTGAGGTCGAAGGGGCGACCAGCAGCCGCGACCGGGTTTCGCGCTGTTGAGTGGGAGAGGTCAGGAGCTCCGGCTCTCCGCTTTGCCTGCGGCGTCTCGGCTAAATGAATCGGGTTAGGACTCCTTTTTTGGGTACCTTAACTGTTCAGGAGGCGGCTCGAAAAGCCAAACCGAAACTGGCATTAAGCTCATATGAGCCGATCCTAATCGGGAGGAGAGAGAGAAAGAGGAAGGAGAGAGAAAGCGAGAGAGGAAGGAAGGAAGGAAGGAAGGAAGGAAGGAAGGAAGGAAGGAAGGAAGGAAGGAGGGAGGGAGGGAGGGAGAGAGAGAGAGAGAGAGAGATGTTGCTGGCTGGCTGGCATTACAAGACAGTGGAATTACTCCGAGCTAATAGCAACGTTCAGACTTCCCCCAATTCTTTTTAAAGTTTTTCCTCCAGTAACGTCTGCCAAACTTGAACAAGATTTGGCAGAAATGGGTCTAGTTAGACGTTGTACCCCATCCTTTGCCAGCCAAATGTACTTTTAGTGGCTTAGACCATTTAATCTGCTCCTGTTGAACGTGTTTTTCTGGGTCCCCCTCATTTTCTAATTTAATGTTGATGATAAAATAGCAATATTTTGTAAAACAGGAAAGAGGGAAGTCTCATAATAGTACTTCAGAATTTAAATTCTCAGTACTTGAGAATTTAAACGTACAATAGGTGTACTAGAACACAGAAAAATGTAGGAAAGTTAAAAAATGTTGTTTTATCTATGAAAAATAAAGGCATACTTTAGCAGCAGCAGAGTTATAATTGCTCATAAATTTAGTTTTCTTATGGGGCTTTTCCCTTATCTAAGGATTAATCCCAGAACACTTGGATTAAATTGTCAACAGCCTGCCACCTAGTGGAAATCAAAGTCTATACAAAGCGCTAAAAATTACGGGGCACAAGCAGACTAATAAATGTTGAACAGGGCTGGCTAGGCATGATTCTGTATAGTGCCTGCTCTTTAGGTATCTGTTTTGCTGATGTTCATATAGAAACACCCTCAGCCCAACCTATCCCACAGGGTTGTTGTGGGAAAACAGAAGGATATATTATGCGTGTTCACTACCTTGAGTTATTTATAAACATAATAAAAACATAAAAAAAAAAGTGGTCTCACACTTAACATAAAATGAATTGGAGAAGTTCTAGGCAAGCCAGTACTCAGAGTTGTTTGCCTCTTAAATTTACTCTAAAATCTAAATCCCCAATCCTTATTAATACTCAGTTAAGCGAACAAGATTTTGCTCAGCTAATGTGAAAAAAACGTATATAAAAACTGACTTGTCAAGGTTGTGGCACTTAAAATATCAGTGTATATAGTCAGAAATAAGCAGTGTAAAAATATTGAATGTATCCGCTTAGCTGTTCTGTTCCTTTGTCAAACCGAAAGATTTCCATAGAAGATACCAAGAACACAAGGTTGAAAAGGCAAATATACCAAAATTATCACTGCTATTAAACACAGGCCACAAAAGATTTTACTTAAATTTTATTTCTACTTAAACAGGTTTTGGATGATACATCATGCAGTCTGCGAGTGTATCCATACAGTTTTATAGATAGTATTTTAGAACCAAGATCCAAAGACTTAACTATAGAGAAGAAAGGGGAGATTTAGGTTTGCTGTTATAGAGCTAAATTCATTACAGCATCTTTTATGTGGAAATTTCCCCAGAGATTGTAACCATCAGAAAAAAGATCCACATTTCATTTTTCCCTAAAACAAGCTATTGTACAGATACATAGGTCCCAGAGAATACACATTTGGAATACACACTACAAACTTTATAAACTAGACATGTATACTTCTACAGAATGCCTCAATCCCTATTCTTCCTTCACATCTTCCACTATTAAAAGAAGTTTTTAAAAAATGACAGACACAATTATTTAGGTGTAAGACACAAATCTTAGAAATAGTTTTGTATGGGTGCCCAAAAAGACAATTATCCTTTGTGTTCTTGGTTCAAAAAGGCATTATAAGGAACCATAACAAATTGCTTTTCAATGAGGCATCATCCCAAAATTCTGCTATGTTCATATTCTTGCCTCAGACTATAAAGGCTTAGGGGACCAATTCATCACCAGTAAGCTACAGCTTATACTGCACAACCTATTTTATAACACAGCCTATGATGGGGATAGAGACACCCAAAGAACCCACAAAAACTGCAGTAGTCCTTTGTGGAATAAACCTAATAAACAAGAAATATATTTGCTATATGAAAGATAAGCTTTGGGACTGTGTTGTTTTTAAGAAAAGAAGTATTTTCATTTATAAATGAAGTAACAAAATATGTTGTTTGCTCTTTTTTCATTGACTAGGGGATCAGATTTTTTAAAAGCCAGTTTTTAGATATTAGTACAGTTTACATTATTTCAAGCTAATTAATTCAGAATAATCCATTCTTAACTTAATTCAGCAGAATGTAATTTTAGCAAGTATGGTCAGAATCTTTCCATTGTCTCAGTGGCAGACGGCTAAATTAAAAAGTTATCCCAAGGATGTACATAAATAAAAACTATGACTATAAAGAAAGTATGATTGAAATTAGAAGCAAGCTTCACTTTCAGTCAGAAAATTTTATAAGTATATAACATAGTTATTGAGTTTTCAAGAATTAAACTCAAAATCTTCCTATCATTTAAAGAATGTCAAACTGTAACTATAAAAGAAGCAAAGAGGAAATGGACATTTTAAAGAGTAAATCACATCTCTGGCATTTTGGAAGCAATACAAACAAACTGTAAAATTAGTATCAAAAACTTAAAAGAATGGTTTAGAAATATCACACAAAGCAATTCTAGCAGCAATAAGTCAGTGACATAATAAAAGTGTGTGGATCATTTTCAAAATACATCCCTAAGCACTGCAATATACTGTGTCTTTGTGTCCCATTTCAGAATTCAATCTGCCATCTTTGACCAAAGTGAAAAAATTAGTTCTGAGGCCCCAGTCAAAGAAACTTAAGTTAGAAGAACTGACTGGCTGATCAGCAACTAACAGTTCTGGGGCCTCAAAGGTAACTTTTCCTTACATCCTAATATAAGCACCCTATTAACCTCACAATTTTTAATTTCAAAAGTGCTTAATGTCAAACTATAGTACCTAGTTCTCATTCCTATCAGTGGGGATTGATCAGGCATAGTGATTGCATTCACAGTATCAAAACATCTTAAGCAATATTATTTAAATGCACAAAAAGGAGTCATTTGAAATTATGTTTTAAAACTAAACATGTGCGTTCTAAGAGCTCATTTGCCTATGAAAATAGTTATAGTGAGATTGCTTGAAACATCCTCCATGTTACACATTCTAGTTGGAATATTTAGAATGTATCTTACTGGGATGTCCTGGCTGGAATTTCTTCAAATATTGTTCCAGGGTTGGTTTGTTTTTTACCAACTGGGAGCTTTATGTGTATATGCATGTAAACTTCATGTGTGTGCATGTAACTTGGTGTTCAACAATTTACAACTAAAAAGATGGCCTTATTAATCCCAGAAAAAGGACTGAATATGGCAAATTCACACTTCAAGTGGTGGACAGTGTATATACATGTGTAATAATATTTTAAAAACACAAACATTTACAAAAAAAATAACAAAATAAACCCAAAATAAGATATTTCACTAAACACGTCGCAAAAGTTTCTCCCTTCCCTCATAATTAGTGCAATTAATAAATTAAATAAGACCAATCAATCCTTGCTACTGTTGAGAATACCTAACCTATGTCGTGATAAAATATCTGATAACCATCTTTCTAAAGTCTTTATAGCAGAATAGCTTTTTAGGCAAAAGTATTCCCTCCCCCCAAAAATTAGCATCCCCAAATTTACTGTTAATGTTAGTGAAAGCCACAGCGACAGAATGGAATAAATGTAAATTGAAATTCAGTCATTTTGAACCTCATAATTTTTTGAGATAACACATGTTCATATGCATGGTTTTCAACGTATATATGAAGCATATGCAAAATAAATACAACTGGCACATTAAACTACAGATGTAACACTTGTTTATCTACCTGTTCTATGGTTATCCATGTCTTCCACTTAAAATACAATTTAATACCCCATGTCTGTCATTAAGTAAGAATACAATGAGAGCGTACTACACCATTCTCTTGGGCCAATTGCCCTAAGGTTCACTATTAGCATCTAATGTTATAAATGCTCAGGATTTTGGTAAGATTATTTCAATCATTCTTTTTTTCTTTTTGCTCTGCACTCTAAACATGCATACCTATTCCTAGTCAATCTTTTTTTTTTGGGGGGGGGGGGAATTATTAGAGCAGAATTTTCCCCACATATCTGACTTGTACCGTGATCTCTGAAAATCAAGGAGAAATTAAGCTTTCGCCTGCTGTTCTAAATTTTCTTTTAATATTCATATTCCTCAAAACCATTGTTTCTGCATAATCAATTGAAGATCTAACCAATGTAAGGGGCATAATAGGTCAAATCCTAAACTTTGAGGTTATTATGTACCCACATGATCATTGGATTTTAAGACTAAAACTATGCTAACCATGTTCTTTTTCATCCTTCTATATCTCTACTGTTATCTGAGCAAATGTACTCATAATTTAGCTTTTCCTCCCTACCCTTTTTTTTTTAAAAAAAATCAACATTTCACCAGGGTAATAAAAATGCATTATTTGAGGTACTTTATTTTTCTGAAAGCAGATTGGAGAGGGGAGGCTATTTTTAAACCATATAGCTGCACCCTGTCAGTTTCCAAAAATATAAAATGATACACATATTAAACAGAAAATCAAAAATTCATGAGGGAATCCAATTATCTGGTTTGTTGCTATGGTTGTTCGATGGCTAATTCTTGGATGTCACAGTTTTACTGATGCACCAGAGTACTTAAAACAGAGCAAAACAGCATCAGTGCAAGCACAGAATCTTCCACAGAAGTGGCACAGAGGGCTAAAAGGCAGTCAGTTAACGACAGGGATTGAGGAGCAGACTCGGTGTATTATTACCCTAGGATAACGTGTTAGATACACTGTACAAGGTTTGGAAAGAAAAAAGTGCATTGGACACACTTCTGTACACATGGAGATTGGGCAAAGCTGAAACATTTGAAACCGGTGCATTGCCGATGGCTGTAGAACATGTACAACGAACAGAAATATAGTTCCAGTTCTCTGTAAAAAAAAGTAGTAGTGAATTGATGACAACCTTCCACATGCCAAGTACCAGCTGGTCAGCCTGGAAAAAAAAATAGACACAAATAAATTGTGTTAGTACACATCACATTTTCAGGAGCAGAATAACTTTTGGAGCATTAATTTATTTGCAGAAAACATATATAATCATCCTATGGAGAGAACCAGTTTGGTATACTGGTGAAAGCACCAGGCTAGAAACCGGGAGACTGTGAGTCCTAGTCCTTCCTTAGCCACAAAAGCCAGTTGGGTGACCTTGGGCCAGTCATTCTCTCTCGTCCCAACTCAACTCACAGGGTTGTTGTGGGGAAGATAAACTCACAGGGTTGTGGGGAAAATAGGAGGAAGGAATGTTAAGGATGTTCCCCGCTTTGAGTTATTTATAAAAATAATAAAGGCAGGATTGTTTTTTTTTTTAAAATCTAAATAAATGTGGTGCTGCAGAACAGAAACCGTCATCCGGTTCCGATTGGGTGAGGGAGGAAAACAAGCTTTGGAAATTGTTTTGTGTGTTTTTATTTGTAAAACAATTCTAGATCTACAAATCAATCCAAAGAGTTTTCCATTTTTTTTTCTTACAAAATTAACTCAAAATTTGATAATCCAACAGTAATCCAGCCATGAACCAAACTTGAAATGCAACGTGAGAATATATTGTTATATTGAATAATAAGCTCAATCAAATGTATGGCAGAACGAGTCAAGTTTTCGGGAATAGGTGGAGGGGAGAATACTAGAAGTTGCACCAAGCAGTGGTTTGGGGACTACTGCAGAGAGGTCTGTTCTGTGTAGCTATCCATCAGGTGCCCCCCAAAAACCGAGGCAAAAATTCCTTAAGATCAGAAGAGGGGAGACAACAGTTCTAGCGTGTGTTTGACCAAGTTTTATAAAAACAATTATTTTCATTCTGGATTGCACTCAAATTGACTACTTATATCAGGATACTAAATACTAAAATAAGGATATTGAGTTAGAACTGGCAAAGACTAAACTCAGATTCATCCTCAGTCTGCTATTCAATGGATTGTCTTGGAAAAATAATTGTATTTCAATTTCTTAGTTACTCAATTACTTTCTATTAGTTGCCTGGGAAAAATGTGAATAAAAATGGAATGGCTACCATTGGTTTTCTCTTGTTATTCAAGCATGCTTTGCAAGTACTCTTTTCACAGAATGGCAGAACTTCCAAAAATGGCAGTGAAATTACTAAACTTTTTAATTTTTCCTCCCAGAATATGTTTGTCCTTACACCTTGTCATTACACTGACACCATCAGCAGAATAAATTTTGAATTATAGTAAATGTATTGGTGATCATTTAGCAACCAGAATTTGGGACCTGTAATTCAGTCGTTAAACAAAGCAGTTGCTAAGTGAAAACACAACTGTGCTTACAATCCTACTTCAGTTTTTCTCTTCTTTACAGAGCTGCAAAGGTCATAACTGCAAACATTGGCTGTAAAGTTACTATTTTTATCACCATTGTAACTGTAAACGGTCTCCTAAATGAGACAGTCACTGAACAAGGATTATCTGTAATTAACTTCTTGCTATAAGATCAATACTTGAAACATTCACAGAAATCTTTCGCAGCGCAGATCAGCAATGTAAGGACATTGCTAATAATGTTACACAATAGAGAGGATTTTGGGGGGGCAATGCTGAACATAGTGGCTATTTCTGAAATAATATACTTGGATAAATGGATTACTAAGGAGAGTGTTGTTCCAGCACAACATACTGTTCCACTTTTTTTTAAGGGGCAGGTGAAGGACACAGACATTCCAGCATTTTATTCAAAGGGTGGAAGAAACTATGCTATTAAAATGGCAGGTCATGGTCACTATCCTATTGGTAAATATAGCCATCACAAAACAGTGGCACATTCTTGATTCACGCAACATGCATTTTGGTTTAACGTACTAAAGTTTCTTTCCATTAGGAACAAAATAGATTTTTCTCCTATGCTTCTGAAATATCTATAGGAACTGTTTTAGCCTCAGAATCAGAAGCTGTTCAATGATTCAGGTGAATAAAGGGAGCCATAGGTACAACAATTGTAGCATTGCCCATTAATGTAGTTAAAACAACAAGCTTGGTCTAATGCTTTAGAGCAGGGGTGAGGAACAATGGCCCTTTTATGACTTGTAGACAGGGCTTTTTTTTCTCACAGAACGCCCAGAACGGAGTTCCGGCACCTTTTTTGGATGGAACCTTGTAGGGTAGGCAAGATGGGTTGTATGACGTGTGTGAGTTCCGGCACCTTTTTTTTTTTTAAAGAAAAAAAGCACTGCTTGTAGACATCAACTCCCAGAATTTCTGAGCCAGCCACACTGGCTCAGGAATTCTGGGAGTTGATGTCCACAAGTCATAAATGGGCCTTACTTCCCCATCTCTGGTTTAGAAAGATAGAGATGTCGACTTGGGTATAGAAGACATACAAACATATTCCTAGTTCAAGTTAAGTTATTTGCAAGCCTTATGCTGTGCAGGCTGGTTTTCAATCTGGCTGTTCTTATCTTAGCAAGTCCCTCTTCAAGACCTCCGGGGTTGCTGAAGAGCAGTTTCCTATTATGATTGAACTACAAAACCTTTCTGAACTTGTATCTGTGGACTGTGACGTTTGTACAGTACAGTAACTTACGAATGGCCATGAGCTTACCTGTTATTTACTTCATGTTTTGGTAATATGCACCACCTCCACGAATAGCATGAATGGCTGTGGGAGAAGATGCTGGATAATGACCAGGGCGAATAGGCTTGGCTGCAAAGAGAAGAAGCAAAGCCAAGGAAAAATTTTGTTTTAAGCCAAGGAGTGGACTACTCTTTTTTAAAATAATCATAACCCCATTTTTTCCCCTCTGTGGCAAGGGGTCCCATAACCTATGGTCTGTGGCCCACTGGCCACCAGGCTGCACAAACGGGGCCACCAGCGCCATGAGGGTTGCACGGCCCATTCACGCATGCATGTGGGGCTAGCAGTGGTGGCGGCTAGCGCCTGCTGCATGCACAAATGGAGGTTGCTAGCCCCATACGGGTGTACGCGGCCCCGTTTGCATGTGGCCCCGTTTGCGTGCGTGTGCAAATTTCACAGCTGCTCCCTTTCCCTCTGGGCTGCCAGTATAAAAATGTTGGTGACCTCTGCTCTATGGGAAGCCTAAAGTGTTAATACAACAAATATCTCAAACAATAATATACAATTCATAAATTCCTTTCCACTGTAAAATACAATAGATTCCTTTGTTTTTTTTCTCAAATTGTCTTTGTCTTTTATCTGCCTTCAAAAGTTTGGTGTTCTCATCTCTTGGCTTCTGGAGCACGAGGAATTAGAAATTACTTTAATATCAATTATTTCTCCCACAAGTATTTTAACATTCAGCTATACAAATTCCCCTCTACCACTTCAAGTACTATAGCAAAATTACAACTGTAATAACCAATAGTATAAATTAAGCTTTTGACAGAGCTATGAATACCATGAAGGTGACAGAACACAATAAATGAGCAGATGGTAGGAATAATCAAGTCCAAGTATCCCACAGAAACTGCTTGGTTAGATATATCTGAACAAATTAGATAAAAACTGTATTTTGGGCTCAGGGTAAGGGCAGAGGTATTAAAGGTGTTGTGTTTAGTGGTTAATGCTGCAATAAGAGTATGAACAAGAAATAATGGCTATGTTTGTCTATGAATAAAAAACTAAAATATCTAGTGAAATGACGTCTTCTGTTGCTTTTTTTTATTTATAAAGTGAAGAATGACAATTAGTTGAGGGTCATGCAAAGCATTTGAATATAATCCCTCACAATAAGTGGGACTGAGAACCAAATACCTCTCTATCACTTAAAGCAGCCACGTCTTTCTGCAATTCTCACTGAGCTGCTTCAAAAAATTGTTGCATTTATGTACAGTGGTATCTTGGTACTCATCATTAATTGGTTCCGGGAGGCACGACGCGTTCCAAAAATGATGAGTACCAAACAATTTTTCCCCCACAAGGAATAATGCAGTGAGTCACAAGGCAGCTGACAACAAAAAGTTCTAGCTTGTGTGTTGAGTAGCAAACAAACAATGAGTACCGGGACAAACGTTTTGTGTCAAAATGCACCGAGTACTAAGCAAAACAACTGAGCAATGTGAGGATGCTGCTTTGTACTCAACTGCTTTGAAGCTCATCAAATTTGGTTCAAGTTAATATACGCAAAGTAATAAGACTCCTGAAGTCACAGTTCAGGAATGCTCTTCTAAAATCCATAGCCATTTATACCTAAAAATAGAAATACTTTTTTCTGCAGGAAAAATATATGAACCCATGGTATTTGCTGAATTTATTGTGAGCTTAAAGAGTATTTTATAAGTAGTCCTGGGGTCTTAACAGTCATTTGTTTAGTGACCGTTCGAAGTTACGCAGCCCTGAAAAAAGTGACTTATAACCATTTACAATTGCTGCAGCCTCCCCCATTGTCACATGAAAAAAATTTGGGCACTTGGCAACTGGCGTGCATTCATAGTGTCTGCAGCATCCTATATCAGTGATGGCGGACCTTTTAGAGATCGAGTGCTCAAACTGCAACCCAAAAACCACTTATGCATCGTGGCTGGGCGTGGCCCATTGGCTGGGCGTGGCTGCGGTGGTAACGGCAGACTGGGTGGGACTAAAAAGTTCAATCAATCAATTCCAACTCTGCAAGATCTTTTTTTTCCCCGCGAGAAGTTGAAATTGACTGATTGATTAAACCTTTTTTTTTTTTTTTTTGCACACGACGGTGGAGCCCTAAAACAAAAAGGTTTTATAAAACCCAGCTGAAGGCCTAGGACTGGGGCGACGGCATGTGTGCCCACAGAGAGGGCTCTGAGTGCCGCCTCTGGCACCCGTGCCATAGGCTCGCCACCACTGTCCTATATAGTCACGGGATCATCATTTGTGCCCTTTTCAGCCAGCTTCTGACAAGCAAACTCAATGGGGGGAAAGCTGAATTTGCTTAACCACCCTTTGATTCACTTAACAACTACGATGATTCATTTAACAACCATGGCAAAAACTGTAAAATCAGACACAAAACATTACATTTAATAATGGCCTTGCTTATCATCCAAAATTCTGGTCGCAACTGTGGGGTAAGTCAAGGACTGTCTGTATTAGGAAGCAGAATCCATACCAATTTGAGCAGAGTGTGCTCGTCTTGCTAGGTTCTTGGCTCTCACAGCCTCTTTGATGCGGTCCACTTCCTGCTGGTACCGTTTCCGATCCCGCATGGCATTCTCCTTGGCCTCCTTCAGAGCGCTTTCCAAGGCCTTCACTCTTTCTGCTGTGGCTCGGAGTCGTTTTTCCAGCTTCGGGAGTTCACAGCGAAGATCCGCGTTGTCACGTACCAACTACAAAAGGATGGGAAAACTCATCTTTATTTTTTACAATATCACACCCATAAGATTTTTATAATATCATATACATTAAGAACTTAAAAAAAATAAAGTACTTATTATTTTCCGTAAGTAAAGACGCAGAGGCAGTTTGGAGGGTGTTTCCTGAGGAAATGTTCCAAATTAATGTTACATTTTGCAATTTTCCTCAGTTTTAAAAAAGCGCAATGGAAAGCACAGCCATGTGAACCGTACTGATAAACCAGTGTTTCCCAAACTTGACAATTTTAAGGCATGTGGACTTCAACTCCCAGAATTCCACAGCCAGCAATGCTGGCTGTGGAATTCTGGGAGTTGAAGTCCACATGCCTTAAAATTGTCAAGTTTGGGAAGCACTGTGATAAACTGTACATAACAGTGTATAAAAAATTAATTGTCAGTCCTCCCTTTTGGCTATTTTTAGTACTGTCTGTCTTGATTTTGCTTGTGAACAGTTTTATTCAGTCCTGTAATTTCAACAGAAGATAAAGAAGAGGGAAAGAAAAGAAAGATGGGATTGAGAGAGAAGAAAAACACTAATTTAAACATTGCAGCCTACGTATGAGGCTTCCATAAGACAAAAAGAGCAGTGATGTTTGAGCCAATAAATTGCTGCATAATAAAGACAAACAAAACTTCTAGGTAAGTCTAGACCAGTGGTCCCCAACCTTTGCAGCTTGGCAATCTAGCTGCAGGAGGGGGGGAGAGAGGAATCAGATCACACAAAGTGGTGGGCCAGTGCGGGCACACAGCTCCACTCACGCAAGAGAGAAGCCTTTGGGATGCAGTTTCGCACTCCTTCAGGCTTCTATGTACCAAAAGCTTTTGCAAAGGGACAGAAGGCCTGAAGCAGCACAAAATCGCTCCCCAGAAGCCTTTTGTCCGTTTGCAAAAGCTTTTGGCATGGAGAAGAGAAGCCTTTGGGGGTGCAGTCTCGTTCTCCTTCAAGTTCACTGAGGCCTGCCTGACACTCCAAAAGTGGATTGGGTGTCCTGCAAAGACAGCTTCAAGTCAGCGAAGTTGAGCAGGACGCACAGATGGCTTGGTAGCCAAGCCGAGGGGGAAGAGGGGAACTGGGCCGCGTGAATGGTAGGGCAGTGAGTATGGGTGCATGCGCATTTCCACTTACACAGGAGAAAAGAGAATCCTTTGGCGTGCTGCTCACACAAGTGGAGCTGCACATGCACACATGCGTGCGCACTGGCCCGCCTTTCGTCCGGCCCGATTCCGAAAAGGCCATGGTCCACAGATCCCTGGTTTAGACTACAGTTTCTAAAGTTCTTTGCCACTGGCTGTGCTTCCGGGACTAATGGGAGATCATCTCTGAAACTTCAGGAAAGCTCAAGTTTGATAGCGCCATTGCACACACTCATTATCATGCCTATGGTAAACGAATTTCAAATTGTCTGCTTACCACTCAAGCTTCCACCACACAGAACATTTTTGGCAATCTTTATGCATTGGATGTAACAATGACATTGTAAATCAGTGACGCAAGCTAACCAGCACCCTGCTTTTCACATTGACCATTGTTCATTAGTAGATGCCCCATCAAAATCACCCAAATTCTTAAAGTCTGAAATGGAATAAGGAACTTGGGGCTCTCCAGATGTTGCTAACATTCAATTCCCAAAAGCCTCAGCTAACATGATTATCAGGGATGCTGAGAAGTACCACATTCTACAGCAGTTAATTTTGATATTGTCAGGCACATTGCTCCATTTGTCTGTGTTCTCTTCTAAAAATCCAATTTGAATTAAAAGAAAGTTGAAGGTCTTTGTTGTAAAACTGAGGACTAAACATAACATGCAACTAGGATTTTTTTTTCTTCTTATCAGATTTCCAGTAGCCTCCTTTTGGCTCAGCGGGCAAGGCTCCTATAAACTGATTGAAAATCCGTTTTTATTTTGTGCTCAAATGTCTCCTTGAAAGAGCTGTGGGTATTTCAACTGCTGTGAGACTACATCACATAATTATTTAAGGTTTGTTTTTCTCTTCTCCATATTCTACAGCTGTTGAATTTAAACAAATTAGGAAAACCACAAGGTAGCAATGACCTACATAATGATAATCCTACCTGTTTGTGAACTTTTGTAAGTTGTTCCAGGTTGTTTTCCAAGAAGGAAATTTTCTGCTTCTGGGCAGCACTTCCACCTCCATCGTCACTGTCCAGTTCAACACTCTATGCAAAGCAAACAAATTACAATACAGAAATTAAGTGATGGTTGAGAACAGCAACAAAAAAACTTACCTTGCCTAAAAACACAGTACAGCCTATGAAATTAAACTTGGAATAATGCTAAGCATGAAGCATTCAAGTGGAAATCTAATTCTTAGATTTCTGAATATAATTTACATTGATGCTGTTATAATGTGCATGGTTCAAGACAACAGGGAAATCTTTAAGAAAGGTTACACAGTCCCAAGTTAATTCTTTAAAACAATTCTATATATCTACATACTACTAAGACTTTTGTTCCTTAACCTTTAACTGAATGAAACAATGCAACAGTTTTTAAACCAAGGCATCTCAAATGGTCTAATTTAAAAAAAAGTCCAAAATCCTGGACCCATGACTCCCCTAGTGTGGAAATTTAGCTAATTTAATAAAACATTTTATGAGTTTTATGAAAGAGTACAGAGAAGAGCAACAAAGATGACTAGGGGACTGGAGGCTAAAACATATAAGGAACGGTTGCTAGAATTGGGTATGTCTAGTTTAACGAAGAGAAGGACAAGGGGGGACATGATAGCAGTATTCCACTATCTCAGGGGCTGCCATAAAGAAGAGGGAATCAAGCTATTTTCCAAAGCACCTGAAGGCAGGACAAGAAGCAACGGGTGAAAACTAATCAAGGAGAGAAGCAACCTAGAACTAAGGAGAAACTTCCTGACAGTTAGAACAATTAACCAGTGGAACAACCTGCCTCCAGAAGCGGTGAATGCTCCAACACTGGAAGTTTTTAAGAAGAGACTGGACAGCCATTTGTCCGAAATGGTGTAGGGTTTCCTGCCTGAGCAAGGGGTTGGACTAGATGACCTCCAAGGTCCCTTCCAACTTTACTACTATTACTATTACATAAAAATGATCATAAAACAGTTTATGACATAATACAAAGACATTTCTTGGACTGATTTTTGACTGCTATGTGGTTCAATGTGGGCCATTTTCAAGGCAAATGCTTCTTTGGACGCATCCCAATTTTTCCAGTGAAGGCAGTAAATCAGAGGTCCTGTCATTGTAAAAGACATTGAGGACTCTGGTAAGGAAATATCTCTGAAATGGTGGTCAGGGGTTGTCTAGCAATTTTTAAACTTTTCACATGTATCAGTCCTCCTCTGCTTTCCATTCCAACAGAACTCATAATAATTTATTTATTTATTTATTTATGAGACTTATATACCGCTTTAAGTGCAAGCACTCTCTAAGCGGTGTACACCAGTAAGCAATGTATATATATATATTTACATTGCCCCCAACAATCTGGGTAATAATAATAATAACAACAATAATAATAACAACAATAATAATAATAAAGTTGGAAGGGACCTTGGAGGTCATCAAGTCCAACTTCTGCTCAGGCAGGTAACCCTATACCAGGGGTAAGCAACCTTGGCTCTTTTATGACTCATGGACTTCAGCTCCCAGAATTCCTGAGCCAGCATGGCTCAGCTTGGAAACCTCTCCCTTTCTCCTCAGCATGGCTGGCTCGGGAATTCTGGGAGTTGAAGTCCATGAGTCATAAAAGAACCAAGGTTGCCTACCCCTGCCCTATAACATTTCGGACAAATGGCTATCCAGTCTCTTCTTAAAAACTTCCAGTGTTGGAGCATTCACCGCCTGAATAAGAGTACTTTCAGAGACATGAGGAGAGATTTGGGGAGTTACAGTTAAGTCAAATAAGTAGAAATTATGAAATGTTTTCCAGAACTAATATAATGAAATACTAGACTGATGGCTAGTTTTTTTAAAATATTTATTGAAATGATGCTTTTAACTACTTTCAAAATGTTCCTCAAGCAAAAGTTTTCACATTCTGAAATAATTGATATCTATTCCTCAGTCATAAAAGTTTATCTTTTTTTAAAGGAAAGTTTAAAAGATAGTGAAAAGCATTGCAAATAAATTTGGAACAAAGTGGAAATATTCATGCAAAGACTATTTTATAATGAAGATAGTAAGATTTTTTTAAAAAATGTTTAAATTGGTCTCACTTCATGGCCTTAATACTTCATGAAGTATTAAGAGATTTTAATACTGTATTTCAATATGAACCACTTTTTCTTTAATCTTTCTTGCTCTGCTCTTTCATAACTATAGGAACTATGATCCAAACTACAGCCAATAGTACAAAGTCAAAATAAAAATTATTCTATTCTATTCTTTTATTCTAAATTAGGCTTCATCCTCTGAATTAATTTTAGCTTCTTCAGTGGAAGCAAAAACATAAGAATTTTTTTCACTGTCATCGCAATTTCCCCTGAAATACAGCTTTAACATTTTTATTATTTTCATCTTGGTATCAATATATTTTTAAAAGTACAGTATGCCTGGACTTAGACTACCTTTAATGAATAAATGAATTACAATGATGTGCCTATGTGTAAAGCTAGTATTATATACTCTCTCTAGTCATGTTTATAATTCAAGCTTTTGGAATTATTTGATAATGATATTTAGTGTATCTGTGCATGCAATTCTCAGCTATTCAAATGCAAGCAAAATATATTAAGCAATTATATTTCAACAGAGCGCCACACAGCTTGACAAATATTTTCACCAAAGCAAAATGACGTTTTTAGCATAATTCAAATCTTTCAACCAAAGGTTTTATCTTACTTTTTTTACTCTGGTGGTGAGGTCTTGAACAAAGAGTTTACGTAAGTTGTGAAGAGTTTGAAGTTCTCGAGCCTGTAAACAGACATATACATAAATTTGAAAGAAAAAAAATCAGAGCCCTCCACAGAATCTTAGCATTTCTTCAGAACGATGTAATGATTGTGACAATCTCTGCCCCTTATGTGCATCTGTGAAATGTCAAAATGTATGTTCAAGAGTAGTGGAGATTGCATCACAAACCATGATGTTACTTTTTTTTCATTTGACTCCCACTCGGGACACCACTACTTAATACAGACTATTTTAAACCGAAACACAAAGTTATCCAAGCACATCAATAGTAATACTTTAACTACAGATAAATCATAGTGTCCTACAAGTCCCCCACAGAACCAATTTGGTCTAGTGTTAAGACATCAGGCTAGAAAGCGGGAGACAGTGAGTTCAAATACTGCTTTAGCATGGAAGCCAGCTGGGTGACTTTAGGCCTGTCACTCTAAGCCCAACTCACCTCACAGGCCTGTTGTTGTGAAGAAAATAGGAGGAGAAGGAAGGTGTATTGGACATGTTCTCCATCATGAGTTATTTGTAAAAATAATAAAGGTGAGATATAAATAAATAAACTACTGTGCTATTACAGCAGCCAAAGTGAAGCGAAAAAGTGGTTATCCCTCAATTGGTTAAGAGTTAACTGAGAAATTCACAGATTTTCACAGATAATTGTTCACAAAACTGTTAACCAATTATGACCATTTTTAATGATTATTGAGGAACAACCATTTGTAAAGTTTTTAATATATTAATTGCACTTTCCTGCACACTGTATAGCATACATAAATATTTTAACTGCTTTCTCGGAGATGACAAGGATGAGGACTATCTGGATTTTGGTGGGTACAGGTTGTTTTACAGGGATGGGATAGCAATGGAGAACTGTTTCCTTGCCACCTCTTCACCTCTGGAACTCCTACCCCCCATAGGCAACTGAGGAAGATACCACAATCTGTGATTATCAGAATCAGCCAAGAGATTTAACAGAACAGTCTACCCCCCCCCCCATACACCCTCAATTTCTCTTCAGCGACAGCTTCTCCTTCAAGGCCTTCCTCACATGGGTTCTCCAAGGGGTTCAATAGGCCATCCTGCAGATACCTTGGTAAAAAGCCATAGAGGGTGTTCTAAGACAAACCTAGCACTCTGAAGTATATTTAGAAACCTATCATTAAGCACTGCAGAGTCTACAAATTGTATATAATTTGATTTTAGTGACTAGTGCATGTCAACCAACGAATCAGTTCTTAAGTTATACAAACAAAGTAGAAGAAACATGCAAAAAGTGAATGTCCCCACCATGCCAGGATCATCTATCAGAATGATTGGCAATGGGTATTTTTGACACAATGCCCTTCTCCCTCAAATTATAGTATCTTTTCTGGAAAGTCATTTCAGAAATATACCTATGATCTATTTAATACTTACCACAGTTTCTTCCAGTCCCTTAAGATCCTCCCTTGCTTGTTCCCTCTTATCATTAAGCAATCTAGATAAAAAGCAAACAATGGCACAAGTCAGAAAATACAAATATATCATTGAGAGTCCCAAAAGTGCAAAACATGAAGCCAGATCACCTTCTAGTGTCTAAAGCATGGGCGTACAACCTTTTGACTTGCCTGGACCACACTGAGTGAAGAGGAATTATTTTGGGCTGCATATAAAATATATAATAAAATGTATATAAACCACATAATAATGTTAAAAGTGCATAATTACCAGCTGTCCAGAACTGCTTGCGGCCCCATGAGTTGTGGGTTGTACATACTTGATCTAAAGGATTTTTTTAACACTGGCAAGTAACCATTTTGACAAACTCGTCCAGTGCTTCATCATCATAGGAAATTCATGGATGAACTCAGTTTACAATGTAAGCAGAAAACTCAAGAAACAAAACATTCAAAAATCTATCTGATATTAGCTTACACACATTTTAACAGGAAGCAAAACTATCTTAAGAGGTGCATCTTGCTTATATTCACACTCAATTAAAAAGAAAATTACTTTTTAGCAATCCTACACATATGTACTGTCACATTATGTAAGGCAGATAATATAAATCAAATCCAGTTTTCTCCAATTTTCACAGAATTAGATATGTAAAATAACGGAATAACAGAACACAAGATTTCTTTTGTTCCTTCTTTAAAGAGTATATGCCATATAGTTTCCTATATTTTTGGAGAAAGGAACATTTCTATCTTCCAAGATGATGAATATGTTAAGTACAAATTTCTGTGATTTTCTTAGGCAAAAATATTTCATAGTCCTGCAGCTATTTAGGGAAGGAATTCTTTATTTGGGTGGGAGCAATGAAGACTAGGATCCAAATGGGAAAAGTACTATTTTCCTTTATGAATAGCAGGTTGACTTCTCAAATGAAGGAGAGGTCACCGCTGAAGATCATTTTGGCACAGTGCAAAATCCAAGGTCTAATTTGTTCAACCTGCATGCAGAATATTGAGGGAGGATGGATTGGAAGACAAGCCTGGATCTAAAAGGAGGATGAAATATGAATAATCTCCACTATGCTGATGACTCTCTTCCGAGAGCTGAAAATACAAATGATCTGGAAGTAATGAAAGTTGAGAAGTACAATAAGAAGAATGGGGTTAAGTTTAAATATAAAGAAAACCCAAGTAATAACAACAGGGACAGCAACCAAATATAAAACTGACAGTGAAAATAATTAAAGTGGTCGACAGGCTCTGATGTTTAGGATTGACCATGAACAGTAAAGGAATCAGCAGTCAAGAATTACAACATAGATTAGCACTTGGTAGGATAGCAATGAAGACTTTGCAAAAAATATTCAGATGCCATATGCAGCTATGAGATCAGAATTGTGCAAGCGAAGACTTTATCTGTTAACACTACTTATGGAAGCAAAAGTTAGAACTTTAAGCAGCAGGATAGATAAGAGTACTGACTTTAGAAATTTGCTGTTGCAGAAGAGTCCTGAGAATACCATGGATACCAAGAAAATGAAAAAATCATGTGAGGCACAAATAACCAGCCTCACATTATCAAATTTTGGACATGTTATGCAAAGGCCTAGGCCAGGGGTAGGCAACCTTGTCTCTTTTATGACTCGTGGACTCCCACAATTCCTGAGCCAGCCATGCTCAGCCAAGCTAGGACCTTGGGGAACTACATAATGTTGGTAAAATGAAAAGAAAAAAAAGAAGACAATTAAGCCCAACATTTCTGTGGTTAAGCAGGATGGTTCTTAAGTGAGTTGCACCTCATTTTATGGCCTTTTTTGCCACAGTGAATCATTGCAGTTAAATGAATCATGCAGTTGTTGCAAATTTGGCTTCTCCCATTGGCTTTGCTTGTCGGAAGCCAGCTGGGAAGGTTACAAATGGTGATGACATGATCCCAGGACACTGCAACTTTCATTAAGTACATGCCAGTTGCCAAGCACTTGAATTTTGATCACATGACCATGGGGATGCTGAAATGGTTGTGCGTAAGTGTGAAAGTCGTACGTCATTTTTCTCAGTGCCATTGTAACTTTGAACGGTTACTAAACAAATGTTGAGGACTATCTGCACTATTTTAACAAGAAAGGTCTGAAAGACGATTTGGGGTCTGAAAGACGATTTCTAAGAGTTCTGAGTTTAATTCGAATCTCCAAGGTTGTAAATCTATATGTTGATGAGGATAGTTAAATTCCTGTTCTAATGAACTTCCAGACTTGACACTGGGATACTAATAAAATCCTGACAATGTACCCATATTTTTAGGAGGATGTATAAAACTTCTCTCTTCGCCACATTGGCTTAAGACCTGCTGAGATTCTTTTAGGCAGCTTAAAATATTAAGGCTTCAATAGATTATGGCTATCCAGCTGCAGGTGCCATCTTTGTAAGGATTGCTAAATGGATATATACTTACTATTTACACTTACATTGGGCCGCTCAATTAAGTCCAGATGTTTTAACAACACTCCTGTCCTTGCAAGTATTAAGAACTATCCATAAAATTGCAATGGGTTGGGATAGGTATAATCAAGACCATGGTCTTATAGATCTGTTAATTCTTTTCCGTTCTAGATCCTGCAAATGTTGAGAAATGCTAATTCTTCTAAGTTATAGCACTAGATATGCTAATAGTCTGACAGAGATAACCTTCTAATAACATCTGGATATCCAGAGATTTCTGTCCTTGGCCAGGATGGCATCCTGCATACATTATTTTAGGAATGTAAATGTTCATAACAGGAAAAGCAACCCAGCTAACTTACATAAGTTTTTCCAATTTATTTTCCCGTTCTTGATCTTCTATTTTTAATTTTTCATAGTCTGAAGTCAGTTTTTCTTGTTCCAGCTGCAACTTCTGATTCATACTGAAGATAATAAAATAACTTAAATTAAAAGTGGTACTTCAAGGAGATAAATACAAGCCATTATGCATTTGTCTTAAGATCATAATTATCCAGTATACTTTCATTTCAAACTTTTGGGAAATTTTCTCATAATCATCTTAAATCTCAAATCAATGTTGTTACTGACATAGCTGTTACCCCATTCTATGTAATACTGAAGAGAAATGGGATATTATTACGTTCCATTTGTTATCATTCTACACTTTTATCTGTAGTAACTACTGCAACAGTTTGTCACAGTGTTCTAAATGCATGCCAAGGTATTGATCATTAGTTACTTTATTACTATATTTCTGATATAGGTTTGTTAGAGGTTTTAAAATCCAGAGTTATATGTATAAACATGACCCTTTGTCTGCTGTATTTTTTATTATTACAAAGCAGAAGCACTTTATGGATTTTTCTTTGTTCTCTCTGGGTTTATTTTTTTGTTAAAATCACCACAAGAAGATTCTAGAGAAATACATCCGTAGCAGTTTTCATCTAATTTTCTTGAGGGTTTTGCTAATAAACATAAGCAATACATCATCAAATATAGATCAAATATGTCATCAGCAACAATCTGTGTATGGATGTATATACACTTGCAAAATTATTCAAAACCTGTACTGGGGAATGAGAAAATGAACATACTCTCTTATATCATCAATAATTTTTTGTTTCTCCTCAATCTCATCTCGTAATCGAGAGAGCTGCTTCTGATGAGCTTCCCTGTGACTCTCCATCTGTTGCTCCAGGGTCTTCTGTTCATAGAAGGGATAAATTACAATAGTTTAATATTTTACTCATTGTTTTTCCTATTACATCAAACACAACCTGCGTTATCTTAGAATTGCTGAGATTCTTGTATATACCATTTTTTCATTCAAAACTAAGCTCAGAAAATTAGTATCAGTTTTCCCAATCATATAGATAGATAGATAGATAGATAGATAGATAGATAGATAGATAGATAGATAGATAGATAGATAGATATACAGATATACAGAAAAATTGTTGATCTTGGAGTATGTGAGGAGTTGAGTAAAATCTGGATCTGTTTTATCAGTCTGGAGTCCCAGTGCCCACAAAAGAGACCTAAGTCCAAACCTCCTTGAAGTCCATTGACTCATTTTGCCTTGATTGTTAGTAGATCAGATTCTTATATCGGCTTCATTAAAGAAACTCACAGTGCTTTTGAACTCTACCCTGTGGTTTCTTTGCGGCACTAATGCAGAACAGAGAATCATGCTACAAAGTTAGTAATGCAAAGGTTAAGGCCTAAGTTTTAGGCCTAAAATATTTTTTTCTCTTTTGTAGCAGGATGTTACTCTATTTCAGAATCCAAATTATATGGACTAAATGTCATAGTACCAATTCAATAATTCCTGCAACCTGATGACCTCAGTTCCGTTTGTACTCCTCTGCGCATTGATACTTTAAAAATGGTTGCTGTATTTTTCATTGAGGGTTGTCAGCCCGATACATAATCAGTATATGTGCATGTACACCTGCATATATTCATTCACTCACTCACATACACATAGACACATACATACACACACACACACACACGTAACATGCCAGCAATATATCATCAATATCTAGTTATAAAACAAAGTAATTCTCAAAGCAATTCCCTTATGCTGCAAATCTATTTTATTTGTTATGTGAGCAAAGTTATTATGGATGGTTTATGTTAGTATCAAATATTCTAGAAACATATTTTTACAAATACGTGTAATATTTTTTAACACACCAAGCAATTGAATTTTGTTTATAATTATAGAATAATGTTAGATTTGACTTGGAAGACATAATTTGATCTGGGTCATCCTTTTGAAGAACATTTGTAGTGAGAAACTGACATCATAAATACCACTGGATAGGTAAGATTAAATATGTGGAATAAAAAAAGCTGAAAGTTATCTGTGGGGTATCTGAAATTACCTTCATTTCCTCTGCATCCTGTAGCAAAGTCAGATGTTCCTTCTCTTTATCTTTGAAACTGACTTCATGCATTTTTTCTGTTCAAATGAAGAGGACAGTTGAGCAACCTTTTAATGGGATATAGTTTAAGAAGTATTAATCAAGTTTTCCTTATGCAAAAGATAACTTTCTACTTTAATTACCCTGCAGGGACAAAGAAACATTAACAGGTGTTTCAGCAGAACAATTTGTGTCAGGCTACTTTTAGCCCATGGTTTTTAAGAAATACTTTCTTCCAGCAAAAGCCAGTTCCATTTGTGCTCCTAAAAATATCACATTCCATGTGTTGCACACTTTCCCCCATCTGTTGTCATGCCAGCTGTAATCTTTAAAGCCCATTCCTGTGACCAATTCAGAAGATCAGAAGCCTCAGTTAAGTGGATTTGCAGCATTCTAGCATATAACAATTGCCCTTGTACAGAAAAATATGCCAATCAGCATGAGTTGAATTTTGATTCGTGACTAGTAAAGTATGCCTATAAGGTAGTCCTCGACTTACCTCATTGAGTGACCATGTGAAAAAAGTGACTTATGACCGTTTCCCACACTTACAACTGGTTCAAATTCAGACACTTGGCAACTGAGTCATATTTATGACAGTTGCAGTATCCTGGGATCATGTGATCACCTTTTGCAAAATTCTGACAAGCAAAGTCAATGGGGAAGTCCGATTCACTTAACAACCGTGTTACTAAATTAACAACTGTAGTGATTCACTGAACAACTGTAGCAGGAAGCCAAACTCACTTAACAAACGTCTCACTTAGCAACAGAAATTTTGGGCTCAATTGTGGTCGTTAAGTCGAGGACTACCTATACAACGGTTATTTTCCTGTGTAAAATTGATAAGATTCCACTAATATAATAAATGTTGCCAAAGCAGTATTAGCTCTCCTAATTTAGACAGCATCAACCAGTTTGAAAGAACTTGGTGAATCTTTATCTCAGAAAGGACGGTGGCAATGGAAAGGAACTCCAGACAAAAATCAACGTATGTTAGAAAAAATAAAATTCAAAGCAGCTATTGAGGACCTGAAACAGGAAATATGTAAAGTCCTGAATTCCTGAAATTATAGTACCTTGTGCCCGCAATTTGGCCAGCTCTTCATTAAGAGAGTCCTGCAATTCTTCCAACTGCCTTCGCTTCTGCTCCATATTCTGCATATAATCTGTAAGAGACTTGATCTTTGCTTCATGCTTTGGAAGTTGAAAAAAAAGCAAACGGAAAATTGTATGTTTAATGTACATCAAAAACTATGAGAAACCGAATTTTAAAAAAAATAAGAAAGAAACAGCTTACTAACCTGAGAGATGAGGAGCTGACAGGCAGCAAGTTCCCTCTCGTTGGCATTCATTTTCCTATTAGAATCTATCTGGGCACTTTCCAGCTGTTTGCTGCGGTTCACCAGAGATTTTACTTCAGACTTCATCTTACTGATGTACAGCCGTGCCATGGTAAACTCTTCTTCAATCACACCGTTCACGTCAGCTAACTGAACACACAAAATAACTGCATTATTAATCTTTTTATGGGCAAATTTCCACTTCTCACTATCTTAATAGAGATGTAGATGTCTGTACTTGTTACCAAGATTGGCATGATATATACTGTTCTTCCCTAACTTCTCTCACACTTGTGGATCCCCATCCCACTTACCCGTGGGTAGAAATAGATATTAAATTGCTATTACGGGTTTTTGAATCTGAGTTAAGGCTTTTTAGCATTCCTTATAGCTTTATATCCCTTTCTGTTTGCACTGTGATATCACAGCTCTCCACTTTTATTACCTCATGAATTCTGAGGCCCGGTGACTCAGTGGCTTAATAACGCTGGAAATAGTCTCGGCTCCAGCAGTTCGAGCCCTAGCACTGTGAAGCAGCTCCTGTCACTCGCCTCAGTTTCTGTCCACCTATAACAGTTCGAAAGCATGTTCTATGCAAGTAGATAGATAGGTATCACTTCGTTGGGGGGGATGGGCTTGTGCTCTGTGCTGGCAGTCAGATTCCTAATGGCTCTGTATTTTCCCGGATGCAGTGCCCATTTGCAAGGCAGCTCCAGGAAGTGAGAGGGCCGTGAGTAATGCTGCAGGAATAGCCGTTCATCGTTCTGGTAGGAAGTCAGCTCACCCTCCTGTGGCACACCTTGGGAAGTGCACAAGCGCTTCCTATCACAGGGCTGGGCTGGTACCTTGGCAAGCCAAACTACTACTCTGCAATAGCACTGTGGTCTCCTGGCTACTATAACAACGCCATATGATAAAATAATAATAATAATAGTAATAACAACAATAACAATAATAATGATATGAGTTCTCAAACCTTGCTCATCAGATAGTGAAAGTATTTTTATTTTTTTTTTCACATTAAAATATGGAACTTTTTTTATATAGCCATGACTATTGGTTCTGTTGTATACAATTCCATTATTTTTCTCTCTCCCTGCAACTCTTTTGCCTCTAGTCCCATAAAAGCATATCCTGAAATAAACTTACCAGCCTTTGGTGCCAAAAGTGCTTATTTCTAATAAAGAGGATTCATTTAGAAAGAGAATGCAATAGTAAAAAATAAAAAGTATTGCACTGACTAAATATTGGCTGTATCAATCAAATGCACTCCATATAATCTGCTTATCCCTCACTGGGATCAAATTTGATAGCTTTATACTTAGATCTGATTTAGTTGTAAGGACTGAGAGCTGCATGCTCTATATATAGTCTTCTCCAGCCTTTGCATCTTTCTGATATGTGAACCTCCCAGAATTTTCAGCCTCTGCTGAACATTTGGAAAGCTGAGATCTACACATCTGGGAGATGCCCAACTAATGAGTAACAGCTATAAAGTATCAAATAAACAATATCAATGTATCTATTAAAAAAGGAGGGACTTAGAACACAATGTCACAGACATCATCTTGTTCATTTTCATATCACTTCCCCTGTGGTTTGCTACCTGGTTTACTATCCCCAAGGATTATTTTTAATTTAGTCATTGCTTTTGAAGTTGAAATATTTCTCTCTTGTTGTATTTTTTCCTGCAATACCAGCAACTTACAGTTTTCACATCATTAGTACCAATGATTCCGCCAATCTCTCCCAGGTCCTTAAGCAATAAATTCAATATTTCAGTAGCTCTCTTTTTCTGATGATTACTAAGTTCTTGCAACTGTCCCAGCTCTCTTTGTGTACTTGACAGAGCAGACTGCAAAATAGTAAGAATAACAAGAGCTTACATAGTGAACTGTGATGAAAATCAACTGCATGTCACACTTTAAAAAAAATGCTTTCGAAGTTTATGCTATGTTTTCTACATTGGATGTACTTGGACAGACACTATTTCCTAAAATCTTAAGGCTATGAATCAAACACTCACAGCCTGTTTTATAAAGAAGCCTCAAACTGAACATCACATTTCACCCGGTATATAAACAATAAAGCTCTCTACTATTGTACAAAAACAATTCAATTTTTGGTACCTTCATTCATTTTGTTAACATTCATTCATTTTTGCTCTCATTAAATTAAGAGTAACCCCAGAATTCTAGAATCAGATAGTTGGGTTTATATTTACATTCAACTGTTTATTTATATTTATTTAATGTCTTATAGAAGTTTGGCAGAGATGAAGTATCCAGAACTATGCCCTTACTCTATATGCCCCAGTTTAAGATAAGCACTACAGAGAATTAGGCATTAAATGAAAAAAACCATAACCTAGCTATTATGTGGCAGAGAAATAATTCCCAGAAACACCTGCTGGAAACTCAAGGTAGAATCAGTGGAAGTAGAAAGAGCTTCCATTTTAAAACTTGCATGGAGGTACACATACAGAAATTGCTAGCCTGCTAGTAGCTGAAGCAGATCAAGCCACTAGAACAGGCATGTCAAGCTGCCAGCCCATGGGCCGGATGCGTCACACCAAAACCATGCCCACCCCATTGCCGGCAATGGGGAAAAAGTCCCGATACATCGCAAGTTTGACATGCCTGCACTAGAAGAAAACAAAATACCATTTCTGCATCCAAATTCTTTTGCTGTTAAATGTCCAGCTGGCAATGGGAAACAAGGTAATAATAGTGATCTTCTCATATATTTTCCAGCAGAAAATTATTATACTGCACATTTTAAAGAATTCACCATTTTAGCATTCAGTGCAGGGGTCTTCAAACTTGGCCTTTTTATGACTTGTGGACTTCAACTCCCAGAATTCCTCAGCCAGGCACGCTGGCTGAGGAATTCTGGGAGTTGAAATCCACAAGTCATAAAAGGGCCAAGCTTGAAGACCCCTGATTCAGTGCAACAACAATATGGCAAAATAACAAGCAACCTGCTAACAATTTTCACAAACCTGATTCTTCAGCTGTTTGTTAAAGAAAATTCTCTTTTTATTTTAATAAACGCTTCAAACAGCTGAGTTTCTCTGAGGGTGTTTAATGAGGTCTTAGCTTGGATTCATAGAAGGCATATACAAATTAGTATAAATGTATCTAGGGATGAAGATTAATAAGGATTGTTCCTACTGTTTTCAGTGCAAGTTCATCTGTCAGCTGCTCATTAGCTCTCATCTTGTCCTCCACTTCTTGTGATTTCTGGTCATAATTAACAGCGAGTTCCTCCAAAGCCTGGAGAACTTCTTTAACTTCCTCTTTTGCAGCTTCATTTTCCATCTGAAGGCGAGTGAGTTCCTCTTGGATTTTCTCATAATCTCTCCTGGTAGAAGCCAAGAGCTGAAACAGCAAATGAGATTAAGTAGCAAAAATGGTGGAGAAAAATAAAATAATTCAAAAGTGCAACCTTCAATTTTATTCCAAATCAGGAAGGATAAAAATGCTAAATGACCTTTTAAAAAAGATTTTCCAGTAATCTGACAGATAATGTAGTAACATATACCTGATTGGAAAATAATTGTATTAGAAGCTAAAAACCAGTCCCCAATAAGTTTTTGATATTAACCAAATAAATATACTCCAAATTTCACCTTCATAATATAGCAATTAATTTAGCAACTAATTATTTTGTAATTTAGTAACTAAATTCATAATTTAGTAATTAAATTCTGAAGGAATTCAGGCTCAACATATCATGTACTATGCTGACAAATGTTTGGATTATACCCACAAAAAAATTCACCTATGACAAAAAAACTAAGAATACTAGGACAATCTGTTTCCTCTCTGTATTACTTATGTCAGCAACACATTGGCTTATTTCATTATTCAGAAATAAATACCAGGCCTAATTAAGAAAAAGATAGCTATAAGGCAAACTCTAGAAATCCACCCATTACTGAACTGACGAAACAATTATATAGCCAAACGTTAGATTATAGAGAACAGCCAATCTTTTTTTTTTTTATTGAAAGTTTTATAAATTTTACAAAAAGACAAAAACAATACAAAACGAAAACAACATATACAAAAAAAAAAAAACTAAACATTACATATAAAAAAAAACCCCATCCCCCACCCCTTACCATAAACCCTCCCTTCCCCCCCCCTGAGCTTCCCAGAGCAGAATATAGGCTTAATTGAAAATTAACAAATAAAAAATTAAGTTAAAAAATTTATATAATATCTATAAGTAACATTAAAATATATATATAAGTATATATATATCTCTCTATATATAAAGATAAAAATTATGAAAAAGCTATATAATATTTTTTTATACCCAATCTAAATTGTATAAATTTTATCCATTTATCCCAAACGAGAAGAAACTTCTCTTGCGTTTGTTGCTTTAGGAAAGCCGAAATCTTTGCCATTTCCGCCAAATAAGCTACTTTAAGAAACCATTCCTGCAATGTAGGCAAAGACTCCTTCTTCCAGTATTGTCCAACTAACAGCCTCGCGGCTGTAATCAAATTTAACATCAATACAACCTCCTTTGTATCACAATCTGTAACTATACCCAGCAAGAATAATTGCGGAGTAAATTTTACCCTCCTTTTAAAAATTCTCTGGAGAACAGCCAATCTTTATATAAAATATTGTCACATTGCCCATTTTATATCAGCCCTAGTATCTGGCACTCATAAACCTGATTGTCAGAAGTGTTATTTGTCTTTAGGATCAAGAAGCTACAGTCTTCTTTCTCAAGGAGAGAAGCAACTTAGAACTAAGGAGAAATTTCCTGACAGAACAATTAATCAATGGAACAGTTTGTCTTCAAAAGTTGTGGGTGCTCCATCACGGGAAGTTTTAAAGAAGAGATTGGACAACCATTTATCTGAAATAGAATAGAATAGAGCTGGAAGGGACCTTGGAGGCCTTTTAGTCCAGTCCCTGCTCAAACAGGAGAACCTATACCATCTCAGACAAGTGACTGTCTGGCCTCTTTTTAAAAATTTCCAGTGATGGAGCTTCTATGATTTCTGGGGGCAAGCTATTCCACTGGTAAATTGTCCTCACTGTCAGGAAGTTTCTCCTTAATTCCAGGTTACTTCTCTCTTTGATCAGTTTCCAAACATTGTTTCTAGTCCTGCCCTCTGGTGCTTTGGTGAATAACGTGACCCTCTTTTATTTCTGGCAACCCCTCAAATACTGGAATACTGCTATCATGTCTCCCTTATTTCTTCTTTTCTTTAGACTAGCCAAACCCAAGTCCTGCAGTCGTTCTTTGTATGTTTTAGTCTCCAGGCCTTTGATCGTCTTAGTTGCTCTTCCCTGAATTTTTTCCAAACTCTCAACATCTTTTTTTGTGATATAGTGACCAAAATTGGCTACAGTATTCCAGGTGTGGTCTTACTAGGTTTTTATAAAGTGCTACTAATACTTTGCATGATCTTGATTGTATGCCTCTGTTTATACAACCCAGGATTGTATTAGCTTTTTTTGGCTGCTGCTGCTGCACACTGCTGGCTCACGGTTAGTGATCGTTCACTAGGACTCCAAGGTCCCTCTCACAGTTACTGTTTTTGAGCCAGGTCTTGCCCAATCTGTATTTGTGCCTTTGGTTTTTCCTGCCTAAAAGTAAAACTTTGCTTTTCTCCACACTGAAACTCATTTTGTTGGATAGGGTCTATTGTTCAAGTTTGTCTAGATCTTTTTGGATCCTGAGTTTGTTTTCTGGGGTTTTGGCTACTCCTGTCAGTTTGGTGTCATCTGCAAATTTGATAAAATAGTATAGGGTTTCTTGCCTATGTAGGGGGTTGGACTAGAAGACCTCCAAGATCCCTTCCAACTCTATTATTTTGTTACTCTGTTACTCTGTTAAACCTAATTTGATCAAGCACTATAAATGTTGCCAAATTTCTAGCAATAGTTATGATTTGTTGAAGTCATCAATACTTTCTTATTATTAACCTTTTCAGGTGTTTTTGGCTTTATTTTGTGTTTTAAATTTTGTATTTGTGTTGTATTAGTCTAGGGCAGTGGTTCTCAACCTGTGGGTCGGTACCCCATTTGGGGTCGAACGACCATTTCACGGGGATCGCCAAACAATGCAGTCCGCCATTTTTTTCCCCTTTTCCTTAGCTGTGCCACTCCCTTTTATTCTATTGGCTTTTGAAAGCCAATAGAATAGACTCTCTTGAATAGAGTCTAATTCTATTGGCTTTCCAAAGCCAATAGGAATTGTCCAGGCTGTCTCTGCCCTGCTGAGCCCGCCAAAAGTCCCATTTTGCAAACGGTGCTGCACCAGTTGAGTAGTCCTCGACTTAGGACCGGTTGAGTAGTCCCCGACTTACGACCGGTTGGGGGTCGCGGCATTAAAAAGGTTGAGAATCACTGGTCTAGGGGGATGCATAAGTAAGTAAATAAATAAATAAATAAATAAATAAAATACGTACTTCATCTTGATCCAGCATCTGTTGTTTTAGTTTCTCAGCCAATTGACTCTGCTGGTTAATTTCATCATCCTGCAATGGGCAAAAAAGGGTTACTTTTTCTATTTCTAACCATTTTTATGCCTTGAAATCAGCTAGCTTTCACAGTAGACATGGCAATAAATCTTCACTTTCCAGATACTTCACTCCGTATTCAGGACTTTGCTTCTAGCAGAAGCTCACAGACCAAACTCAGCTAATTTAATTGCTTTATTGCAGATAACAGAAAAGCCATAAATATGCAGAAGGAGCAGAAGCCAAGCTATTTCTTTTCATCTCCCTCTCTCTCTTTCCCTTTCCTCCAGGGTACTAAATTCTAGGCCTTTTTTCAAGTCAATGGAAATTTGGCCATTCCTTCCCTAACATTAAGACTGAGGCAAATATCTTCAGTATTTATGTAACAGTTATGTCCATCCTGAGAATTTCTGATTCCCGTCTCACTAGCTCATATATCAATACAAAAGTGGATGCGATTATTTCCTCCCAATGTAAAAAAACTATGGAAACTGAATGTACTATTGTTACATAGCAGGGAAAAAAAAACATTAAACATAAATTGCAGAGTATAGAATTTTGTTCCAACCTTTATCACTAAAACATATCATTCTAACAGATGCAAGCAAGTAGAACTATAAATCAATCTTATCTACTCCCCCAGTGTAATGAATGCAAAACTAATTCTACAGAATGCAGAAATATCTTTCAGAGTTTGACATAACAATGGAGTCATCTGATTTTTATTCTGTCATCTGCATCATTTTGCTAGTTAATGGTATTTTAAATCGGCACTGGTTCTAAAGACACCTCAATTCTATCTTCTTATCTTACAAAAGCATATATTTCATGTATAAATACATTCATTTTATTATTAAGAATTCCTTATTTTCTTTGTGAAACTTCATATAATGAAACCTTTGGTGGTGCAAAACTGTACTATTCTTCAACATGGAGGTATAAATGTGTCAGGCTTCTTTACTGTATTATTTGCCGCAAGATCAAAATGTTCCTACCTTAAGGAATTATACAAAGACCACTCCAAAACTACAGAATGCTCCAGAATGCACCAGCCTGAGTAACAACCTGGTTTGGCCATATAACACTGCGACTTTGAGTCACTGGTGGGTTTATGGGCATTGAATGAATAGCTGAGGACCTGGATATTTACGAGACTCGTTATCTCCAATAGTTTCCATCTGTCCAATCAGGAAGAGAGGATCCTTTATTTATAATCTATCAGGTATAAGAGTGGTCCCCAACCTATTCAGCACCAGGGACCGGTTTTGTGGACATGGACCCAGGGGGGAGGAGCGTGCAACCTAGAAACCCGTACATGCGCAGTTTTGCTCACCTGCCATTCGCCTCCAGCTGTGAGGCCTTGTTCTTAACAGGCCATGGACTGGTTACGTCCATGGCATGGAGGTTGAGGACCCCTGATGTTCTTGGAGGCAGGCCTCCTCTCTAGCTGCTCCCCTTCCCTAGAGAACCTAGACTCTGACTTCCCTTGATCTTATTAGGATACAGGAAGGCAATAAAAACCTGAGTATTTTTGGCAGGCTTTTGAAGGGAGATGAATTGAGAGAGGTTACTCTTGTGTGACAATAGATTACTACATAAATTATAATGCCTCTGCATAAGGATATTTATTAAGCATAGTAGCATCATTTATTTATGGTCCTCTTTTAATCTTAACTATGGTAGGACTATAATATGCTCAGTGTTGGTTGGCTATTAGAGCAGCATTGATTGATAATATGCCATCAGGTCATTTTTAACTCCTAACCTTCACTTAAGATTCTCTCCACGTAGAACAGTATACAAGCCTCATAACATAAATATTGTTGGTGAAAGCAAAATGCCCAGATGTCCCCACAATACCTGTACATAAATCTGAAAGCCACTTTTATAGGCATAGACCATTTAATTTAATTAAATAATCATCCCCCTTGCATTTCTTAATAAAACCATTGTGTATATTTCTGAATACACGTATGATTTTATTAACATTTAAAATGTAGGCATATAGTGGACAAGAGTTTCTATATAGAGGTTATTATTTCTGATCACAAGACAGCGGGCCATCTTCAAATAACTGTGACTATAAGGTCTGGGGGGTCCATTTTGAAGTCCTCAAATACTTTGGACGTAGTAGCCAAACATCTTGCAAAATTTGTGATTTTTAATGTCGTATAATAAGAAAATTATTCTACATGTAAATTAACCCATATTTAATTAAAGCCAACTGCATTTACATAGCCTATAGCAGCTGGCAGCATCCTTTGTTGGATCTCCAAAATGTAAGTAGGTTTGGATGGATGAACATTAGGAGGTTTCAAGATAACAGACTAGGTGAAAAGCTAATAAAGGTCCCAAAGAAAGCAATGGTAAATTATACTCCCATTGCTGCTAAAATACAGACAAATACATGAAGTCAACAGAGATCAAGCTTGAAGGAGACATTACTTTACATTGCTATCTAAATAAAATTATATGTAGCTTTGTCCTTGCTCTCCTACTACTGTGACCTGACCATGTCTAATCTTTGTTACACACCCACTCTTCCAAGTCTTATTCTACTCCTAAAAGAGGCTGTGTACCACTGTTTTAAAAAAATTCACATAAAATCAAAGCAGTTATTTCAGCTTATCTGTATCACAGCCAATGTTAGAATTATTGTTTTTTATTAAGTGAAATTAAAGAACTGCCATAAGACATTTTTAAATGTGTGCTATCAAGACTATTAGGAGGATTCAGAATGAGTTATCTCCTTATGCGTTTCTCTTATTCAACTTAATATAACATTTTCTGATTTCTTTACATCTTAATCTTACATCGGAAGGCAAGAAAGAGATGAATTTCTTCACATTTTATGAGCCGAGAAATGCTCATGTTAACCCCTGAATCTCAAAGTATTGGAACTGTCACCAGTTAAGGAATTTCTCTTCATTTTTAAATCTTATTTTTAAAAAGGACATTATTGCAACATGTAGACATTTATCATGAAAGTCAGTCACCTAAATATAATTGTGCTGCTTCAGCCTATGTGCAGGGACTTCCATGAAGAAATATTCTCACAAGGAAATAGGAAAGATAAACATCTGTAAATAGAGGAAACTGGAAAGCTGAACTGGAAGTCTTTGATAAGGTAACTAATATTCTACAGACTTATGACATGGGATATGATTTAGATACACGTTCTAGGTGTAGTTTTATTGTATTACTTTAGAAAAACAAACCTCAGATCTGTAATCCACCAAAGCTGCTGGATTTCCCTATGTATTACTGCAGCCCTATGCAAGTGGTATAGGCTTTATGGTTATCTATCACTTTCTTTGTCTTTCAATAAGAAATTATTTGATAATTTGACTGATTACTTGGGATTAAAAAGAAACCATTTTAATTCATCGGTTTTAGGAGAACTGAATAGAAAGCTTGTGAGAATGAAAATACTGGTAGTATTTTATATATAATAATATAGTATATACCAGGGGTAGGCAACCTTGGCTCTTTTGGACTTGTGGACTTCAACTCCCAGAATTCAGCATGGCTGGTTCAGGAATTCTGGGTATTTAAGTCCACAAGTCATAAAAGAGCCAAGGTTGCCTACCCCTAGCACATACTACCGTAAACGCCGGTGTATAAGACGACTTCCGCGAGCGCTGAAATCGGCGCCAAAGACGGGGGTCGTCTTATACGCCAAGTCGTCTTATACGCCAGAAATACTGGTAGTTTCCGGCGTATAAGACGATGTTCTAGGAATGCGGCCCGGCTATAAAGACGGGGGTTGTCTTATACGCCGGGTCGCCTAATACGCCGGCATATACGGTATATTTTGTACAGTTTGAAGCACGCATTGATTTTAGTTATGAAGAAATAATATTAAAGATGTATGACAACAAACAATTGGAAGGAAATTATGAATGGACCTTATCATCCAACTGTCTGTAGAGACTAGTAACCTCTTCTTCATATTTCTGCTTCTCCTCAGTTGAGATGCTGGCAACAACAGGAACGATGTTATCAATGATAGGCGTATTGTCACATGGTTCCAAATTCTTCTGGTCTTTTGCACTGATCTGTTCCTCCTCTGGTACCGCCTCTCCTGAAGACACAACAAATCCCAAGAGAGTAAGCCTCAATCTTTATCTGTACTTCACCGTTTCTGTTGGTACTTACAGATAAATTTTAAGGATTTTAATTGACAAAAATGTGATCCACTGGAGAAGGAAATGGCAAACCACTCCAGTATCTTTGCCATGAAAACCCCATGGACAGTACTAAAAGGAAAAAAGATATGACGCTGGACGATGAGCCCCTCAGGTCGGAAGGTGTCCAATATGCTACTGGGGAAGAGCAGAGGGCTAGTACTAGTAGCGCCAGAAAGAATGAAGCGACTGGGCCAAAGCCGAAAGGACGCTCAGCTGTGGATATATCGGGTGGTGAAAGGAAAGTCCGATGCTGTAAAGATTTTTTCTCCATAGGAACCTGGAATGTAAGATCCATGAATCAAGGCAAGCTAGACGTATTCAAAAAAGAGATGACAAGACTGAACATCGACATCTTAGGAATCAGCGAACTAAAATGGACAGGAATGGGTGAATTTAACTCAGATGACCATCAGGTATACTACTGTGGGCAAGAATCCCTCAGAAGAAATGGAGTAGCCTTCATAGTCAATAAAAGAATAGGAAAAGCAATACTGGGATACAATCCCCAAAATGACAGAAGGATCTCAATTCGAATCCAAGGCAAACCATTCAATATCACAGTAGTCCAAATCTATGCCCCAACCACTGGTGCGGAAGAGGATGAAATTGACTGGTTCTATGAAGCCCTACAGCACCTTATAGAATTAACACCAAAAAATGATGTCCTTATCATCATGGGGGATTGGAATGCTAAGGTAGGAAGCCAAAAGATAACCGGAATAACAGGCAAGTTTGGCCTTGGAGTACAAAATGAAGCAGGGCACAGGCTAATAGAATTTTGTCAGAGAATACGATGGTCATAACAAACACTCTTTTCCAACAACCCAAGAGACGGCTCTACACATGGACATCACCAGACGGTCAACATAGAAATCAGATTGACTATGTGCTCTGCAGCCAAAGATGGAGAAGCTCTATACAGTCAGTAAAAACAAGACCAGGAGCTGACTGTGGCTCAGATCATGAGCTTCTCGTTGCAAAATTTAGGCTTAAATTGAAAAAAGTAGGGGAAAGCACTAGGCCACTCAGGTATGAACTAAATCATATTCCTGATGAATATACAGTAGAGGTGACAAATAGATTTAAGGAACTGGATCTGATAGACAGAGTGCCTGAAGAACTATGGATGGAAGTTCGCAACATTGTACAAGAGGTAGCAACTAAAACCATCCCAAAGAAAAAGAAATGCAAGAAAGCAAAATGGCTGTCTGAGGAAGCTTTGCAAATAGCTGAGGAAAGAAGGGAAGCGAAAGGCAAAGGAGAAAGAGAAAGATACACCCAATTGAATGCAGAATTCCAGAGAGTAGCTAGAAGAGATAAGAATGCCTTCTTAAATGAACAGTGCAAAGAAATAGAAGAAAACAACAGAATAGGGAGGACCAGAGATCTCTTCAAGAAAATTGGAGATATGAAGGGAACGTTTCATGCAAAGATGGGCATGATAAAGGACCAAAATGGCAGAGACCTAACAGAGGCAGAAGAGATTAAGAAGAGATGGCAAAACTACACAGAAGAACTATACAAGAATGAGCTTAACATCCCAGATAACCACAATGAGATGGTCATTGACCTCGAACCAGACATCCTAGAATGTGAAGTGAAATGGGCCTTAGAAAATCTGAGCAACAACAAAGCTAGTGGAGGTGATAGTATTCCAGCTGAGCTATTCAAAATCTTAAAAGACGATGCAGTAAAAGTGCTACACTCAATTTGCCAGCAAATTTGGAAAACTCAACAGTGGCCACAGGATTGGAAAAGGTCAGTTTACATTCCAATTCCAAAGAAAGGCAATGCCAAAGAATGTTCAAACTATCGCACCATTGCACTCATTTCACATGCTAGTAAAGTTATGCTTAAAATCCTACAAGCTAGACTCCAGCAGTATGTGGATCGAGAACTACCAGAAGTACAGGCAGGATTTCGAAGAGGCAGAGGAACTAGAGATCAAATTGCCAACATACGCTGGATCATGGAGAAAGCTAGGGAGTTCCAGAAAAACATCTACTTCTGCTTCATTGACTATGCAAAAGCCTTTGATTGTGTGGATCACAACAAATTGTGGCAAGTTCTTAAAGAGATGGGAGTACCAGACCATCTCATTTGTCTCTTGAGAAACCTATATGCGGGTCAAGAAGCAACAGTGAGAAACGAACACGGAACCACTGATTGGTTCAAAATTGGAAAAGGAGTCCGGCAAGGCTGTATACTGTCGCCCTGCCTATTTAACTTATATGCAGAGCACATCATGAGAAAGGCAGGGCTAGATGAATCAAAAGTTGGAATTAAGATTGCCGGGAGAAATATCAACAACCTAAGATATGCAGATGATACCACTCTAATGGCAGAAAGTGAAGAGGAACTAAAGAGCCTCTTGATGCGGGTGAAGAAGGAGAGTGCAAAAGTTGGCTTGAAACTCAACATTAAGAAAACCAAAATCATGGCATCCGGCCCTCTCAATTCCTGGCAAATAGATGGGGAAGAAATGGAGGTAGTGACAGATTTTATTTTTCTGGGCTCCAAGATCACCTCAGATGGAGACTGCAGCCAAGAAATTAAAAGACGCTTGCTCCTGGGGAGGAAAGCTATGGCAAATCTAGACAGCATTCTAAAAAGCAGAGACATCACCCTGCCAACAAAAGTGCGCATAGTCCAGGCCATGATTTTCCCAGTTGCAATGTATGGCTGTGAAAGTTGGACCATAAGAAAGGCTGAGCGCAAAAGAATTGAGGCCTTTGAACTGTGGTGCTGGAGAAGACTCCTGCGAGTCCCTTGGACTGCAAGGCGTTCAAACCGGTCGGTCCTAGAAGAGATCAACCCCGACTGCTCTTTAGAAGGCCAGATCCTGAAGTTGAAACTCAAGTACTTTGGCCACCTAATGAGAAGGAAGGATTCACTGGAGAAGAGCCTAATGCTGGGAAAGATTGAGGGCAATAGAAGAAGGGGACGACAGAGAATGAGATGGCTGGATGGAGTCACTGAAGCAGTAGGTGTGAATTTAAATGGACTCCAGAAGATGGTAGAGGACAGGAAGACCTGGAGGAATGTTGTCCATGGGGTCGCGATGGGTCGGACACGACTTCGCAATTAACAACAACAACAACAATTGTCCAGTCAGAACAATCAGTGATCTGGAACTATAAATAAATACAGCTGGATTATTCAAGGACATCATTTGTTCCCCTGCAGCAGACATGTCAAACTTGCAACATCACGTGATGCCATGCAACGTATCGGGACTGTTTTGACATTGCCGGCAATGGGGTGGGTGCAGTTCCGCATGACGCATCCAGCCCACGGACCAGCAGTTTGACACCCCTGCCCTAGAGCAAGTTTCTAAACAGAAGACTCTTTTTTTTCCCCTAGATCTGATCATTATTAAGAGACAGTTTGGCTCTTTGGATTGGATCCAGAAATATAATGCAGCCTCTTGCCTGAGTTAGGGATGATTTTTTTGTAAGCTGTAATTTCTCTCTGCAGACACAAATTACTTCTAATATTCTGAACAGCTACAGAATTGTTCAGCAATTGGGTGGCATTAATTACAAGCAAGGGGCTAGCTTGTGCATGTCTCTCAGTGGTGAGCTCTTGCAAGGACTTTCCTCCTGCCTATTGATCTCCTCCATTGGCATCTCCATGGAAACGAGATCCCCCTGGATCAACTTTTTCTCTTATAATCCATGGTAAATTTGTAAATTTCCTATCGTAATCCACTAATTTACCCAGACATTTACAGTGAGATATCCAACTGTGCAGAACTTTTACAATTCTGCAGATGCAATATTCATAAGATAAACTGAGAACTCAGGACACACAAGATATTCTAATTGTGGTTTCCTTTAAATGATTGGCCGGCGTGGGCCAGAAAGGAGTAAGATTTCAGTGGTGACAATAGATTTAGAGATAATTATTCGGAATCAGCTTCACCCAACTTAAGAGGGAAAAAATACTTAGAAAAGGAAAGGTAATGTCTGTAGTTTCCTGGGTCTTCCTCCTTCCCTTTATTAAAGATAAAAATGACATTTGGAGGACACTCTGATTTAGTATTCTAAATTACCTGTGTACTATTCAAGTTCATATATTTTTTTAGTTTTTGGTATTAATGAATAGCAAACATCCAAATAACTTCAGAAGCAAGGTTACAAATAAAAAAAGGGTGGGATAATCATTATCAAAAGAAAGAATCTTTTTGCTTCTAAAAGCCAACTTCAAAGACTAGTGATAAATCACGACACACTATAACTAAGCCTGAAGAGTCTGCTACAATAATGACTAAAATGGACTTAACTAGGCTACATGTAAAATACATATTTATATGTTCATTTGGCCTGAAGCCCTATTCAAAACCTGAGTCCATATGGGAGAGATTGCACTGTAAACACCATTAATTCCATGAATAGCTCTAGAAACATACCGTAGGTGATCTTTATTTAAATGATGCATAAGAATGTATATTCAAACATTTATGGAAAATGTCAATTAATAGTTGAATATGAGCTCATCATTATTATTCAGTATTTTTTAAAATCCTGACATAGTTTTGCTTCTAAATGCAACAGAAATCTTATGATGGTTCCAGCACTTAATAAAGCCCGACATACTTGAGCCTTATTAGGGGAAATTAAATTCTAGATCTCATGAGAAATTGAAACTTCGGAATTATTCTTATTTAAAAATAGCAGGAAAGGGGAAGGTAGAAATTGTGAGCTGAAAAGATGATTACTCTTAACCATTAAAGATGATGTTAAAACTTCTATTTTAGAAAAAGGAATATAATTTATCCCAAACCGCTGTACTGCAATTTATTTATTGTAGATTTTGTATGCCCCTTTTATTATTCTTGTATAAAAACTGAAGGCAGTGAACATAGCTAATTCTTGGAGTGGTGACTCAAAGTCACCCACCAAACTAACATGCCTGCTGGGACCAGAACTCCCAGTTTTCTGCTTCCTAGCCTGGTGCCTTAACTGTATTCATAAACATGTATGTGTATACTTTAAAGTTAACAACATTCACCATGCTCCTTGTTTGATTCTGATATTCAAATTCCAGAAGTTTAAACTACAAGGATAACGTTTTTACTAAAGGTGGACTATTCAATAAAACCAAAAATTAGGGCAAAAATATGCCTATGAACTTGAATAGTACACAAGTTAATTTAGAATACTAAATCAGAGAATCCTCCAAATGTTATCTTTATCTCTAATAAAGGAAAAGAATAGGACCCAGGAAACAACAGATATGGCAGCTTCACATCTATCCTGAGCAAAGTCCTTGAACAGATCATTAAACAGCATGCTTGTGAGTACTCAGATAACCGTGCTACAATTAACAGAAGCCAACAGCACTTCATCCCAAGCCAACCATGCTAAACTAACTTTATCTCCTTCTTTGACAGAGTGAATACCTTAGCAGATCAGGCCCTATTTTCTTTCTGGGTTTTGCATTCTATATATCTGTAGTAACGCAAATTAAACATTTCTCACCATATAGCTAAATTCTGTGCTACCATCCATTCCACACCTAGCATGTTATCAAGGGCAAACCAATAGCCAATGAAGGATGATGGAGAGGCAGGCTCTTAGACTGTAGGCCAGTGATGGCGAAACTTTTAGAGACCGAGTGCCCAAACTGCAACCCAAAACCCACTTATTTATCACTGGGTGCCAGGTGGGTGTGGCCCACTGGGTGGGTGTGGCTGTGGTAGTCATGGCAGACTGGGTAGGTGTGGCCAAGGTGGGCATGGTCACCTTGATGTTGCTTGTGGGGAGGGATGCCTGTGGGGGCAGGGCAGGGTTGGGGGAGATCCAGGGGGGTCTCTGGCAGGTGGGGCAGGCTGGTAGATGGTTGAAGAGGGACGGTTGCCATCTCTGGGGCATGGCGCACGTGCCAACAGAGGGGGCTCTGAGTGCCACCTCTGGCACGCGTGCCACAGGTTCGCCACCACTGCTGTAGGCATACTTTGGGAAAGGATAAGCTCTACAGCATTTAACTGATGAGCTATAGCTTTTTAAATCATGAAATAATGTTTTTTGAACATATATTTATAACTTGTATTCTTCTTATCTATCGTAATAAAATAAAGGATGCTACCTTCTTGGTTATATTATGGTTTACATACCCAGAAACAGCAATCAGACTTTACTATAATGCAATGCGTTTAGCATGGAGCACACCTTCATCTAAATCTTGAGTCCTATACGATTTCTGCTTTTAAGTTCATGACAAAATAAAATGTAACTTCTGCCTTACTATTCTAATTTATTAACCAAGGCTTTTCTACGTCTAAAGCTCTTGTTTAATCCAAGCCTGCACTGCACTGAAACCATCATGCAAGAAGAGGATAGTGCACACCCAATGTTTGTTCTACCTTTTACAGTTAATGAAGAAAACAGCACCACAACAGAACTGGGCCTCTGCCTAGGAATGAGCTTTACTGATACATTTCCAGGCATACAAAGATAAAACTTAACGTTGTTCTACCACTGCAAATATTTGGCTTTGGTTTTTAATATAGGTTCTCAGCAGTGACTCACCATTCCGCCATCTATTTAGCTCCATCTCCAGATGTTGGATAACATTTTTCAATGTCTTGTTTTTCTCCTTCTCTTTCTCGTATTTCTTCTTCCATTCCTCAGCAGTCAGTTCAAGATTTACAGAAACTGTGTTCTTAATTGTTTTTGCTCTGTCCAGAAAACAAGCCGAACACAGTCTTAGCTAATGCACTCTGTTTAATAAGTAAATATTCAGATATAAACCATTGTTACTTCTCTCTCTCTCTCTCTCTTCTCTCTCTCTCCCTCCCTCCCTCTCTCCCCCTCTCTCTTACACACACACACTTATAAACGCTCAAGGTTTGGTAATCAAATAAAAATTTAAAAGGAAAACATACAGATAGTTCTCGACTTATGATTGGTTGCTTGTCAACTGTTTGAAGTTACAACAGACTATCAAAAGCTATTTATGACGCCGATTTTAAGTTCCTATGTTGGGGGGGGGTCAGATTCATGTGACTGCACTTTGGGCGTTGGGCAACCAGCCCACATTTATGGCCATTTTCAGCTCCCTGCAGTCACGTAACTACGATTTAGTATGGTTTTGCTAAAAAACTGGATAATCATCTATCAGAGATGATATAATAAATCCTGCAATGTGTAGAGAATTGGACTTGATGACCTTTTAGGAATCACTCTATGGTTCTATGACAAATAAACACAAATTGCAAAATGAGCAAATCAGAGAATGCGCAAGAACAAAGGCTGTTAATCTCTTTGGTTCTCAAATGAAGCTTATATTAAAGTATTCAAATTCCAAGGCATCCTGAAATAAAAACTAAATATATCCCTTCTTCACAGATCAAGCAAAAAGTTTCCAGCTAAAATGCAGAATTGAGCAACTGTTAGATGCTAAAAACAGAAGGCAAATTTAACTCGTTTGAGACACAGCAGTATCTATGAATAGGGAATTTGCTTATTTTCTTTTTGCTGATTCTTGGCTTATTTTTCTTCAAAGTCCCCAAAGTGAAGAGATCCTCTTCTTATATCAGTGTCTTCTTTATTCCTTTATGGTGAATAAACAAATCAGTCTTGGGCACCAAGGAACGAAAGAAGACATATTTTCAAAAAGTGTCAGAGGCCTGAAAATTAGCTTATAGATTATGTTATCTCTCCACTCCCAATGGACTAAAATGATTTAACCAGAGTTTGAAATGTCATTGACTGCTCATTGATATCTGCAGACATATTAACTTTATAGCCGTGTGTGTGTGTGTGTGTGTGTGTGTGTATCTGTGTGTGTATATATACAACAATAGATGGAGGTATGGGATAAAAAGGGAGTGGGGGACTACAAAAAGGCCACAATGACGCCGGGACCGAATGGACGGCCCGGGAGGATCATGAGGAGACAGCTGAGGGACGTATCAATGGGGACAGCATTAGGAAGGATAGAACTGACAAGGAGGAGAGGGAGTGAATCCGGGAGCAAGTCAGCAGGCAGCCCAGCCGACCACAGCCGGACGAGAGGGAGGAATAGGACGGGACTAGGTGGTCATACAGCCTGGCACAGAGGGAAATCAGAAGAAACAGGGCCAGCAGGGATAGATGAGGGTAGGTCAGGCAAATGGGTGGATCCACACAAACAGGAGGTAAATGACAAGGAAAAGGCAGCAAGGATATCAGACCCGGCCATACGACCCAAAATGCCCATGGGGGGAGGGACGGGGGGCACATTAACGACAATGGCATCAGGAAGGAGAGGGAGTGGAGGGGGGCATAGGCGAAGGAGGCAGGAGAATAGGGGGTGGCAGTGTGCTTGCACACGCAAGCATGGAGAAGGATCGGAAGAAATAGGGCCCAGAAGGATAGTGAGGGGAAGGCAAGAACAGCGGATGGATCAGCAGGGTAAGAAAGAGAGGAGGGATAGCAGTGGAGGAGCACCAGCAGTGCCAACCCTCAGCGCCCAGCCCAAAATGATTGCGAGGAGACAACCGGTGGATGCAAGGATAGGATTGGCAGAGATGAGAGGGAATGAATTCAGGAGTGAGCCAGCAAGACGGGGTAGAGCTGCAAGCACACATACCCAGACATGAAGGGAAATGGGAGAGAAGAGGACTCATGATGACAAATAGTGGAGGACAAGAACAACAGACAGACAAATGGAATGGAGGAGAAGGGAACAGCAGTGTAAGGGCACTTGGGATACTGGACTCGGATCCACGGCCCAAAGTGAGTGCGGGGGAGTGGTCAGTAGGCATACCAACAGTAACAACACCAGGAAGGAGAGGAAGGATAAGGGGGGGAGAGAGAGAAGTTGTGGAACTGGAGTGCAAACAAAGGGAGGCGGGACATTTAAGGCAATTAGGGTCAGTTAAGACGAATGGCCCTATCACGCGGTCAATGTGTAAAAAACTAGGTTAGCAAGGCTTATAAAAGATCTTTCTACACCCCAATGCTTTACTCTGAAGACGCTGGCAGTAGACCAGCAAAACATTTCTACTTTTTTTCGTATTAAATTAAATTCGTATGTATTAAATTCATATTAAATACTATCATATTCATAATATACATATCCCTCCAAATGCAAGTTTTGCAACAATTTCAATCAATTTAATGTATTTAATGTGTTATTTTTAACAATAAATAGAATTGTGGTTTGCATTTTTCTCTGTTATGCTAATTATGTTGCATTTTATTGCAGAACTATGTTTCATTTCATTTCTTGGATTTATAATCTGTTATATGTAAGACCTTTAACTCTCTGTGCCACCAAAGCCACTGAAAGAAATTTAACTAAGTTCTAACAGTACTATTATGGTTTGATGCTGGCTGGAAGATTAGAAGACTGTATATTTTTACAGGTTTTAGAAAATGTTAGTGACACTCACCTATCTAATTTATGGCAGAAATAGCTATTCACATCAACATAATTGCTAAAAAATCAATACAGTCCCATCAGACCCTGAGCTAACAAAGCATTGATGCATAAAATTAAATCACAACAGAAATTCTTTTGCTGCGTGCGCAATTTTTTTTCTTGACCACTTTCTGAGAACTATCAGAATATCATTGCTGCTTGTTAGTAGAAATTTTCAGGCCCATCACTATTTTTATATTCAGCTTTAATTGGTGAATGTAATTTCTGCTGTGAAATCTTTGTGCAACCCTCTTTCATATTTCACAACATATTTGACTAAATAATACAGCACGTTAAATATCAATTAGATATTACATTATTGTCTTTATCAAAAGAAATAGAATAGACGTTTCTCTCTGTGTGTGTATGCTGATTTGATTTTCTTTCTTAAAGTCTAAAAGACAGTTCCTTTGTATTTGTATTCATCCAGTGCATGGCATTTTTCTATTCAAGTTTATACTTAAAATCTGTTTCAGTTATTTTGTTTTTTAACCTGTTTTGATAACAAAGTAAAGGTCAGTAATAAAAGGCATATTTTAAAAAAAAAAAAAAAGACGGATATGCTTGCTCACCTCTGTCCAAACATTAGAGTAGACTTGGTTTCAGCTTCATTGAAAATGGATGGGGAACAGCAGATGACAATGGTGGTTCTACAGTTACCACCTAAGGAGTCTTGGAGAATTCGGGTCATTTTGCTGTCTCGATATGGGACGTGTGTTTTCTAATTAAGCAAGATAAGATGTTTAAATACACATGCATACACAAACAAACACGCACAAATGCCCAAAGGTTGTGGCTGAGATTTGTTGGCAATGCTGTAATTTGAATTTCTTTTTTTTAAAAAAAACCCTTTATTGGTTCATCACAATATAAAATACAAACAAAATGAAAATAAATGGGAAACTAGGGGAAGAAAGGAGGAAAAGAAGAAAGTATAGGTAGAAGTAGGGAAAGGAAAAACAAGTCATTGACTTCTGATTCTTTTTAGCACAGTAGAAGATTAATAACATTACAGCCTCAACGTTTTACTTTTACACAATAATATACAACAAGCCATACTATAATTTGGATTTTTGTACGTAAACGCCTTCCCAAATATAAATTATGTATCTTATGTATATGTGGGAGTGTAGGTGTGATATATTTTCAGGGTATTTTCAATTGGTACATAATAATTTTAAAAACACATAACATATTTAATTGCTCGATATTATTTTCATTCAATATTTTGGTTGAGGAAAAAAGGACCTCTGGTGCTTTCTGTTTTTTCTCCCCATCCTTTCATCTCCATTCAGCTGCATCTCCTGTTTGTTCAAATGTTTTATTTGTACAGCCTGATGGGTGTCTACATACACCACAAACCATGCATAAATAACTCCACATACAGTAACTCCGCAACAACTATAACAATACGATGCAAATATCTGCATTTGAGAAGTAAATAACTATGCACGAATGTATTTATCAATGGGATCCAATATACTTTCATCATAGGCAATGCTCGGCTGTTTGCTGTTGGATACAATGCTGATTATTTCTTCTATCTATTTTAAGCTTAAGTTGCAAGAATGAGAGAGGAACGGGATGAAGGAAGGAAGGAAGGAAGGAAGGAAGGAAGGAAGGAAGGAAGGAAGGAAGGAAGGAAGGAAGGAAGGAAGGAAGGAAGGAAGGAAGGAAGGAAGGAAACTTACAGTTCCTTCTGCCAATGCCGAAATCACATTACCCAGTGCAGATAAAGACTTGTTAATATTTTTAGCTTCATCAAGAACAGATCCCTCAGCTCCAGTTTTGCTGACCTATCAGAAAAAGAAAACATGTTATTCAAAGTGAACTGAGCTCATATTCTCAAAAGACAGGTAAAAACAACAATGAGGTCACATTTAGAAGAAACGCATAACACTGCCCATTACATCAGAAATATCTACAATACTTTCAGTTCATCCAAAACAGCATTAAGTTAACTACATTTCACTCACGTTCATGAATTTCACTTACATTTCCAATATCCATAAAAGCAGCTTAGGCCAAATCTATCTGACTATAGCTAAATACTGGCTTGCATTCTCAGATCATTCTCATCTTTTTGCAGATTCTTATACAATAAAACTTCAATGTTCCAGACCTCCATTCAGCAGATTTTGTTTCAGGCTTTATTCCCAATTGTGTCCATTGTTTCTGAAGTAATTTGGACAATTAATGTAATATATGTTATTTGCAACAGTTTACATTATTTTAAATATGTAATTGTTTTCATCTCATGTAAATCTACTGCACCTATTTACATAATTTGCAAGTAATATGAATAGAGCAAATTAAGTAAAATGTAAATCATGTGAACTCAGTTAAACTAAAATTTCACTGTGTACAATAGTAACCAATAATAACTTCATATATCTGAAGATAAAACTGAAAATTTTGTTTAAAATATGTTCATCTCTTTTCAAGAGGATTTGGAGTTAAATAAATAGTAGGATGTGCACACAAATACGCTGATGTGCCAACAAAAAAATTTACTAGACAAGTGGATCTGGGGGAAAAAGTAAAAAAGCAAAGAATTACAATGCTGAAACAAGAAAGAAAATAATGGCCTTTATATTTTAAGGATCATCTAACACATTTGGAGGCGACGTTGTTCAGAAACATTCAGAAACAGAAATCATTAAAATAAATAAATTTAAAACCGCAATTGAAAGATATGTTTGAGTTATCCTGACAGAAAAGACTTTACAAAATAATTTTGCAGCAATAGCTGAAGTTTAAGCTTTCACCTTTTTGCTAGATATTACCTCATTTATTTAGGATAATAGATATTTAGGAGTGGCTTATCCCCTATCTAAACACACGAAACAGTGTTTTGAATTGGCACATATTATATCCAAGGCTATCTATTTGCTTAAAGGGAAATCATCTAGCCCCTCCCTGATGGAAATGGGAGCTTTACAAATAGGAAATATAAGGAAATAAATAAAATCTAAAACCTTTATATATTTCAAGTGTGATTTATGCAGTGATTTTTTTGTGAAAAAAAAAAAGGTGCCGGAACTCACAAACGTCATACAACCCGCCTTGCCTACCCTACAAGATTCCATCCAAAAAAGGTGCCGGAACTCCGTTCTGGGCGTTCTATGACAAAAAAAGCCCTGGATTTATGAGTCATGAATTTCAAAAAGTCCTACCTTGTAGTCAAGAATTTTATGTATAGCGGTAACAGGATCATTACCTTTTCACTTCCAGCAAGATCTACTAGATAAAGCTTCCCACTGAGTTTTTTTTCAGTTTCCACATTCTCTTGTTTGATATTAATTAGGAAGATACTGTGACTTCTAGAACTGTGTTCATTCATGTCTATGAAGAGAAAATGCAATAAGCTAATATGCTCTTTACATTTTTTTAATCTATCTCTTCTAAATTCCATTAAACCATCATCCTTATTTGATTTCCTTGTTTATATCAGTGAAGACTAAAGTTGGCCCTGTCATAACAGTTCTTCAGAATTCATTTCCGAATAGAGCTTCCGTGTGAGTGCAAGAGCCCTCTGCTCGCATGAGTTGAGCTTCACGTGTCTGTACTTGCCCATTTCTCCTGCGGCCTGGTTTTGAACAGCTTGCGGCCTGGTATTGAGCCACAGCCCCGGGGTTGGGGACCTCTGCATTAAACTACCTTCCTTTTAATCAGGGACAGCTTGCTCACTATATTAAGAGATATTGTGAAAAGCCTTTTGAAAATCCAAGTACAGGTGATTCTCAACTTATAGCCATTCGTTTAGTGACTTTTTGAAGTTACAATGGCACTGGAAAAAAAAGTGATTTACAACTGGTCCTCACACTTAACAACCGTCACAGTATCCCCCCAGTCACATGATCGAAATTTAGACATTTGGCAAGTGGCATGCATTTATGACAGTTGCAGCCTCACAGGGTCATGTGATCACCATCTGCAACCTTCCCAGCTGGCCTCCAATAAGCAAAGCCAAGCTGGATTCAGTTAAAGACCACACGATTCATTTAACAAGGTTGCTGAACAACTGTGGCAAAAAAAAATAAAATCATAAAATCAGGGACAAATCTCCTAGTAATGACTTTGCTTAGCAATGGATATTCTGATCCCAACTGTGGTCGGATGTCAAGGACAACCTGTGTAGGGACAAATCTCCTAGTAATGACTTTGCTTAGCAATGGATATTCTGATCCCAACTGTGGTCGGATGTCAAGGACAACCTGTGTAGTGGGGGAACTGAATTAGCCTGTTGTGTTTAGGGCAAGAAGAGGGCATGTTTGGGGGGGGGGGCTTTATGAAGTTGTTAGACTCCTGGATGAGGAGAATAACTCCGGCACAGTTAAAAATAAGTTGTTTTTATTGTTTTCAAATTCAGACAGGTACCTGAATACATGATTAAAGCACAGAGCCCAGGTCCATCTGCAATGTAAGGCTAGAATTGTGTTAGGAGGGTTTATCTCTTTTTGTACTGTGTGTGTAACCTAATCTTCCTTTGTTACCTTTCCTGATGATGACTTGATTCAGCATGGCTAAGCTATCAAGTCCCTAAGTTTTGTTTTTCCCTTTCTTTAATTAGCCAGAGCCAGGATGCAGATTTCCCCTTCAATCCTGTTCTGGTTCCTCCAGAGATCTGGTGTGGAAGTGAGAAATTGGTTTATAATGGAGGCCTGATAGCAGTAAGGAAATCTAATTTTACACTCACTGTTCACCTCCACACATGGGCTATGTCCGAATCAAAGTACCCAGAGGGAGGCTGATTCAACTTGTCAGTCATTCAGTCATGTACAAACTTTGGTCACTCTATAGCAGGGGTCTTCAAATCTGGCCCTTTTATGACTTGTGGACTTCAACTCCCAGAATCCCTCAGCCAGACATGTTGACTGAGGAATTCTGGGAGTTGAAGTCCACAAGTCATAAAAGGGCCAAGTTTGAAGACCTCTGCTCTATGGATCAGCACTCTCCATACCCCTCTATCTCACACTGTCTCCTTCAGATCCACTATGGTCATCCCACTGTCATCCTTTACAGTAGGCAGCCAACGAATATTAGGGAGGTCCCTTCAAGCCTGACATACCTTATTATACATTTATACCTTTGGGGTCTTCTATTTACATGCTTGTCAAAAACTTCAAAAAAAATCTAGAATGTTTTATCATCATTCTAAATTACATTACAATGATTTATAATCAAGTGCACATACACAGTTGCATCCACTAATCATTGCATGAAATACTTTTGCCAATACAACTGTGGAATATTGCTTACTTAACTGTTCAGAAAATAATGGTCATACATTTTTAAATATTTGACCTTGAAAATAATTACCGAGGTTTAATATTCCTGGTTGCTCAGCAATAAAGACTACATTCCATGAAACGTTTATTTTAAAAGAAAATGCTGATCTCCATTTGAAGCAAGGTTCTGCAGTGCATTTGTTCAGTAAGTATTTTAAAATCCAATGACCGACATTCTTAAGCTTCAAAATGTCACTCGTCATTTTAAAAAAAACTTTCAAGTCACGTATCTAGTAAACTATTTAATTGCTCTGTAACAGAGTTTAACTTGAAGAAAATGTATATTTTCTTGACTATTGTAAAATTATTGTTAATTTCAGCATGACAGTAATTGAAATTATGTTTTTAGAATGTAATTGCAGACTTAGAAATGTATGAATGCTTACTGGTAACAGCTACGTGACGGTTTGTTTTCCCTTCATCAATGACATCCATAACTTCTTCAGGACTAGACACAAATCTCTCTGTGCAGCCCTAGAAATGTGAAATTCAACATTTTTTTAGGCAAAACGTTCACTGGAAACAAACCTAAATCAATAACTGTAGCTTCTCAAAAACTCAATTTATAAGCCTATATAAAAAGAACTCAAAACTTCAGATAATAACCAAGAAACAGCTGCAGAAATATATAAGAGGACCATGTACAGTATATGGCCATTGCCTTCATTGGTCATAATTAACCTATAACCAATCTGAAAAATTTACATGATTGTTCAGAGATTTGTGCAGGTATGGAACTTGATAAACAATTCCTAGCTCCGTAGATAACTGATCCTGCATCCATGGATTCTTTTGTAGACCCATCTCACAGCATACTTTAGGCTCTCACCATTCAAGAGAATGAATACCATTTCATCATGTGATTGGAAACTATATTTTATACCCCATTTATATGCACACTGTTCATCTCTAGTTTGTTTTGGGTATCTCTGCATGGTTCTAACATATGTTGAAGCTTATCCTACTAAAAACGAGGAAAAAATCCTATGATTTGCATTATATTCATTATGCATTAATGGAACTAATTAATTTCAAAGAAATGATTAACAAAATGAAACTATTAAAAAAATAAAGTTTTGGATAAAGGAAGAATTATCTACACAATTTTGATGAGAATATTATGGAAGAAAAATGAAGAAAATCTCTCAGCAAACGCATTTAGTCAAAAGCAAATACAGGTATTCCCTCCATAAATGCATCCAGGTTGGACTGACTTGGGGGGTTTTCAATAACATTCACATGTAGATTTTTTTCCTCCACAACTATAATTCTAAAAAAGGAGTTCATCTATCCAAAAGGTCACTGGGTTGAATTTCAGTCTCATGGGTTTGCAATCTATCTTCATATCTAAGCATATTTTGAGGGGTTGCATCTGTTTTAAATCACTCTTAAGCTTAGCCAGATCTTTAAAAATGGGGGAAAGATGGTGACCTGGAAAAATTGGATGAAAGCAGGAATGCTGAATTTAGACCAATTGATAGATGATTGGGATGAATTTGTAGCATATGCTGCAATAAGATGCAAATATCTATTAGATGTAACTTAGTGGAAATATTTACATTTGTTAACAATATCATTTGGATCAGCAGCTTTTTTAGCTTCTCAGATATCCCAGACAGAACTGGTCATTTTTTAAAAAAACTAAAAACCTACTATTCGTTTTTGAAGTTATTTGTTATCTATAAATCAATTTGATATGCACATGTGAAGAAATGAGTGGTATAAAGAATTAGAGGTTTCTATATTGCTAACACAATGGGAGAGTGTCTTCACTTCTATAGCAAGAGTGTCCATGAATCGTAAGCTACAACTTATACAACAAAATATTTAGAATTTACTGGACTCCATAATGTCTATATAAAAAAGGACTGACTACTACAGCAGTTTTCTTGGAAATGTAATAAGGACAATGCTTTTTTAAAACACATGTTTTTACAATGTCCTATACTTACTAAGTTTAATAGTGAACTAACAGATGTGATCTACGATAAATGCTAACATTTTCAGAAGACAATATTGTTTTAAATTACATACATTGTATATGAAATTTGACAACCGGCCACGAAAATTAATTCTCCAGGTCCTTACTATAGGTGAAAGACTAATATTGCAACATAGGAAAGATAACTGTATGATCCCATTTACTCAACTGATTGAAGACTGATTACATTTTCTACTTAATAAAAAATAATAATGTAAGGCTAAGGAAATATGGGACATATTGATACAAAATATGATAGGCTAAAAAAAGATAGGATAGATAGATAGATAGATAGATAGATAGATAGATAGATAGATAGATCATTAGGTAATTATATATATACAATTGTAATTGTTTATTGTTGCAAAAACACATGTAGTTTGGGTTTTTTCACTTTTTAAGTAATTGTTATGTATATTTTTTGATAATATGTTTGTCTCTGTGTTTTGTTTCTCTTTTTCTCTTATTTTAAAAACAATAAAATTTATTTTAAATAATATAGGTAATCCTTGACTTACACTGATAATTTGCACAGGTTGGGGATAGTGCAAGGGAGTGCCTGAGAGGTGTGGTGCAGGTTGGGGAGAGTGCACTAGGATGCCAAGGAGGTGTGGCAAGGGTTAGGAAATGGGGGGGGGGGCTTGTGTGATGCAAGCCTTCTTCATGATAGGCAAATTTCTCAAGAATGATAGAAACATTGCTAAATAAGACACTACAGGTTTAGAGTATGACTTTATCAAACTCCATCTCAGGAGTATAGATAGGGATATTCGGACATTAAAATATTTTATGACTTGGGAGACAAGTTGTTATTTCAGGTTATCTGCTCTTAATTATCTGTCAAATATGAGATATGAGCAAACAGGTAAACATGAATTAGGTAAAGAATAAAAAGAAGGACCTATTGCAGCTTTCCTAAATGTGCAGTTCAGATTCTTCTTATTTATTGGCAATTCAAATAATCCTGCTAAACACTTTACTTTACAAACCTCATTGTACAATGAATGAATTATTCTTGAATGCTATGCCAGGCTAAATTAACTTAATAATCTTTTGATACGATTTTATCATTTTAACTTCTAATAGAATTGCTTTAATTTAAAAATACTTTTTGTTTCAGAAAATGCTTTAAGATAAAACACAGGGCACTACGGATCCTGAAAAATTCAGCTCAAAGAACATTTGGCAACATGCTGGGGAAAAATAAAGAAAAACCCCTTAATTATATCCAGTAACTCATTTTGATGAAACAATTAAAGCAAACTGATTTGCTTCATCGAAGAACTCAACAGGTTGAAGGGCTTAGGGCTGGGTGGCTTTAGCATCAGGAGAAGGTGACTGGCATGAAAGCAACTTTTCCACACTGATGACTTTTCACAACCACTGACCTACAGTACTAGTGAGCTATTGCGACAGCCCAGCAGTGTGAAAAGAGTTTTTCTGCACTGCTGGCCTCTTTTATCCACTGGTCAACAAAGGAGAGAATGCCAGAAGCACAAAAGGGCAAGTCATATCACATCACTGTCTTCTTTCAACTGCTTGCTAACCCTTGGAGATAGTTCAACATGGAGATACTCTGGGGTGTTGGGTTGGCCACCTCCAGTGCGTGCAGTGGGATAATCCCTACCAAAGGTGACTAACCTGGGATTCCTCTTGGTAGAAGGATGAAAAACATTTTCCTCAGCTTTTTTTCCAAGCATGAGCTCTGCAGAGGTCTACAAAGCAGACTCACGAGGAAATAATGACAAAGGGTTTTTGTAGAAATTCAATACACTGTATACAGAGGCCACAAAATTTCTTCTGTAGAAATTCAGTAAAGTATGCACTGAAGAAATGTTGCAAAGGAACCATGTTGCCTAGGAAGCAGTTTCAAGAAAGTACTTCATTTGAAGCTACAATACAGAGTACTTGTTCATTAATACTTCAGACAAACAACTTTTTAGACAAAAGGAATAATGGCACCTAGGAAGGAGGATTGTAGTTTGCAAAATATTACAGGGCTGTCCTTTCCTCCCATCCCAGGGTAGAAAGTAACAGCAAGAAGATCAAATAATCCTTGCTCTAACAAATGTATTGATAAATGGGATGCTAAAATAAAATAAGTAATTCCAAGGATTCTATAGCCTAACACACTTTTCCTTTTACATTAATCTGGCTAATAAGATCTTGAAAATCTAGCATGCTTTTGTGAGCTGTTAGGAGGTTAACAAAATTAAAGCATAGATTTTCCAGTTGATTAAAAACAAACTACTCTTTCCCTTCATCCGGAATCAGTATGACATACTGATATATTGTTAGAGACATTCAGAGAAACAGAAATATTCTTACTAGTAAAAAATTATACTTAACCTTTAAGAGGCAGACATTCCTAAATTTAGTTACTATGCTTTTCCATTTACATTATTTTGTATAATACTGCAACTACTGCTTTGGCAATTTTATTATGGAATTATTCATGTTATGGCTTTAGCTTCTCTTATTCAGGATCTCTTAATCTATTCAACCTTGAGCATATTTTACTATTTGCTTTCAGTGACTACCTTGAGTTCTTAGTGTTAAGTCACCTTGGTTGTATTTGCAGAAAGATGACACACGTATTTTAAAAAGAAAGTAAATGTGATCACAAACTAATTCAGAGTGTATTTGAATTAAATAACTAAAATGGGTTTTTTTTTTCCTATTATGGCTTTTACCTTGACATATGGGACTCTGTTCTTGTCTTCATGTACTGCAAGATTCGTTTTTGAAACTGTAAGAAACATAAAGGACCATCCATCAATTAATGATGCATATAAATTGGATGACTGGCAAGAAAATCTGAATGTATTATAGTTCAAACATATGCTTCCACACAAGAAATCAGCAATAAGTGTTTTCATCTAGGATTTGCATATTTCAAACCAAATGGGCTTTATACCCTATTAGCTGGTTTAGGTACAAAATAACAACTGGAATGATTTAATAAGTAATGTTTTGCATATTCACATTAAGGATTAGGGAAAGGCTCAGGAACATGAAATACAAACAAATTAAGGTAAGTGTAAAATGGCCATAAGCTTTATTGTTATGATGCGTATAGAATTGCATATCACATATAAGGCAAAAACAAGATACGGACCAATTCCACTATTGATTGGAATCATGCCGGGATACAATGCAAACAAAACTAATGTTGTGGTCTTTTTTTTGGATTAAGTGGCTATTAGATCCTATTCAGATGTTTTATTCTCAGCCCAAACATCATCAGTTGTATGTCTGCCTTCTGAGAAATCTTCCATATGTTAAACCAAGGCTTGCTACATCAGGCAAATAGAAAATATGGATGAAATAATGATTTCTAGAAAATAGTTAAGTCAAGCTTTTCCAAATGGATGTCCTGGGAAATAATCATTTTAAAAAATCCATAAAGCAGAATGCAAAACTGGAAATTGAAAGAACAGAGGAACACAACATTTTGCTATTCATATGAGATCAGGAATCTTCTTGAACAAAGAACTGGCATTTAAAATAGGGGAGAAAACAGATTTCTTAAACTATGCCATTTCATTCCTTTTAAATGGCTGTTACAACTCCTGGCTGATAATTATATAAAGCTGTAAAATGCTTCTTAAAGTAATCCATTTAAAACAAAACAATTATGGAGATCACTCTCAATAATAAAGTAGTAAAATATAGAAAATAAAATTTTTTACATTAAAGATCCTAGTTTCCACTGCAAAAACTGCAAAACTGGAATCTAGCTGAACATTTCTGACATAGTAGCCCAAAACTAACTTATCGTTAAATAAGAATATGGCACATAGTAAGGATTTCATTAAGGTTGGTAACTTAATCTACATATTCTCTATCTTACAAAAAAGTGTTATGTGAAAATCTTAATTGACCAAAGCCAAGCAGGGTGGCAGAGGTCAACATCTATTGATCCACCAGGGGACAAATAGCAGATATGGAAGATTGCAATTTGGAGGAGGTCTTCTAATAAGGGACTTCATGACCAAGCTTGATAATTGATCATCTCCCTCCATTGGAACAGACAATTACCCTGATATTTAGACTATCTGAGGTAAACTACTCAATCTGCAAAAATGTATGGAAGAAAGAAAGTAAATATACGCATGTATGTTTGTTAAAAGGAGCGTCTGCTAAAAATATATTGAAGGAAACGAATGATAGATATAAAGTTGTAAAGTTAAGAGAAAGTAGAGGGACAGAATAGCTTTGTACAAAGCTAATCTGATCTTGTGATGTGGATTGGATAAAACACAGAAGTGAAGATGCAAGTTTAATTAAGAATGAAAAGGCTAAAAGGTTAAAATATGTGACAGAACATAAGAAATGTTGATATCGACTGTGGATGCCAGTAGAAATCCATGGACTGAGATATTTCCCCATCGCCAAAGTGTTTATAAAGATGGATCTCCCAATCATGTGTGGGCTTTGCTTTTTTAGTTATTTGTTGTGCTTTTATTTGTTCTCATGGATCCAAATGGTTTCTAAAGGGCACTTGGGGAATTTCACAGCTTTATGGCAGGCAACAGGAACACTGTTTTTTGGTGCCTAGGCTGTCTCCTGTCGAACCATAGATTTTTTTTCCCCTTTATTATATTCTATGGAAGCTGCTAAGATTCATAGATTGCAACGAGATGTAAATAAAAAAGTAAGTAAATAAATGCATGTAAAACTCCAGGAAGTTATAATGGAAGAATCAAATATGAATGTGCAAGAAAACAATACTACACTCTGAATAAAAATGGTCAATAGGAAAAAGTTATTCTGCTCGATCACATGACTGGATGGGTGAGAACAAGGTAAGACAGCACATTATTGGACTGTTTGGAGATCAGGATTATTGAGGACTATCTACTTAAAATGGCTTAGCTCTTTCAAATACATTTGATTTAAATGTAAATCTATATTTATATGAAGGATAGAAACATGATAGATTAGGTAGGTAGATAGATCAGTAGATGATAGATAGATAGATAGATAGATAGATAGATAGATAGATAGATAGACATAGATACTTTAGATAGATATTTTTTTGATTATGATGAATGATTGACTGAATTAGTGAAACTACAAGTTGAGCACACGTTCTTAATTTGAGACATTTTTGGTAGCACTGTGAGTGATCCTAGGGAAAGTGGACAGAAAATGAAACAAAAGTAGACTGAGAGAAGGAACAGAAAGTTTTTAGAAAAAAAGAGGGGGTATGGAAACTGCTTCAAGTAGAATAGAATTAATTACATTATAGAGTATTGCAAAACTCTGTGGAATTACACTAAAGGCAAATATGAAAAGGATGACTGGGAGAATGCCAGAATGACAGACACTGTGGATGAGAAATATATCCTTGAGAATGACTCCTGCAAAAGAACGAGAAAGATATGGAAGTGAAAACCTGCATTTGACAAGGGAAAGAATGCTATTTATGCTTATAATATTCTCCTTAATATTAAAGGGGGAAGGTAGGATCTTAGGAGAATTAGATTACATGCACTTAGCACAGAACTCCTAATGAGAGGTTCAAGAGGTGACAATGGGCAAAATTTGGGATATGTAATAGATCTCTATCACAGGTTGTTCTTTTTTAGCCAAGTCATTAAGATATGTATATATGTGGGGCGGGAAGTCATTGTACTTTTATAGAAGAATAATTATGGACAAGGACTCGTGATCTGTGCTTTGTTTAAGGAATAAATGTATAGGGGGAATCATGGGACGTTAGTTGGTTGAGGATATGAATATATCATACATGTAATTTTATATTAATTGTAATATTAAGGATTGTATATTAATTCTAGATATAAATGTCATCCATCTCTAATTCTTTTTTTGTAAGAATTCTTTCTTTTTCAGTAATAGTTTCTGATGATCCCAAAGGCACAAGCATCCAAGCAACCCTGTTTTCTGGATTCTGACAGCCCATTTTAAAGAGGGTCTCCAGAGTTCAGTGATTAAAATAATCCTAAAATGTTCAATGTGGGAGAAATGGCAATTTTTGTGTGAATATACAAAGGACAGATTTAATACAGGGCTAAGTACAGATTTTAGAAAACAAAACAAAATAAACTATCACAGACAACTATTAATAGATACATTCAAAATAATAAAACCCTGCTTTACTTACCATCCAATAAATCTCTTATTTTGTCCAGGTAAATCTCAAAGTAGGAAACCTAAATATGAAAGCATGCTGATATTACAAATTCATTTGAAAAAGAAGAGAAAAACTATCAAATAGATTCTTAAAAGTTCTTTGAAAACATAGGGGATATATTTATTCAGCAGTTTCACTCAAACTAAGAGAAAACATTCAGGAAATGTTTTTGTTGATTGCTTCTGGGCATTAGGATATGCCATCTCCATAGACCAAAATGTTTCTTTAATGGGCCAGAATAGAAGAGGCATCGCCTGATGTCCTACTTACAATCTCTTTTCTTCTTCTTAATGGACATTAAAATATTAAGGCTCTAACAACTAAAAGCTGCTATCCAGGCTGATTAATCACAGTACTATTTCCAGTAACTTTGGAACGTTTGGTGTCCTTTGGACATTGTTGTTGTTAATTGCAAAGTCGTGTCCGACCCATCGCAATCCCATGGACGACGTTCCTCCAGGACTTCCTGTCCTCTACCATCTTCTGGAGTCCATTTAAGCTCACGCCTACTGCTTCAGTGACTCCATCCATCCACCTCATTCTCTGTCGTCCCATTCTTCTATTGCCCTCAATCTTTCTCAGCATTAGGCCCTTCTCCAGTGAGTCCTTCCTTCTCATTAGGTGGCCATAGCTTTGGACATAGCTAGATATAATTATATATTATAACTAGCTATATATTAATAATATAATTATTAAGTATATTATTTATAATTATATAAATATATTATATATAATTATAATTAATAATATAATTATTACCTACTTTTACCAGTTAGCTGTTTTGGGGTTTGCTGATGTATAAACATCAAGCTAAAATGAATGGTGAATATGTTTACTGTGACCAGGATTAAATGGGAGCATGCTGGGCCCTAACGAATTTGGACATTACCCACTATAAGTTTCCAAATCCCTGAAAAGCTAAAAGAATGGAATTATTCCCCCACCTCAACAGTCAAGTGGAACTTTCTTTGGGAGACACCTGGAATTGGTTAAAAGATTGGTGGCTATATAAATATTTTAAATAAATAAAGTAGGGACAAGAAAAGGATTGAATTCACTACCAATAACTCTTCACTGGTTCCTTTGTGAAAGACAGGAGCTGATCTATTTGCAAACAGCAGATTTATATCATAATATATTTTTGCATATGTTCCAACTAAGATTGGATATACTCATTACATTTTGATCTGAATTTGATTAAGGGTAAAATTGAAATGGGAGGCTTTTTTTTAAAAAAGCATTATCCTAGTTGGCTATATAAAAGATTTAATAAATTATCTGTAACACTGCCAAAGCGTTGTCTCCTTTTAAAATAATAGCTTCAACATTGTGTCGGTAGCAGAAAAGAATTATGAGATAAAATTAAAGCTTCAGAAAGGAGTAACTGGTGAAATTATTATTTTTAAAGAAATTGCAAATCTTAATAGGATTGACTTGGTACGAGTTCAAACCATACATTTTATTTATTTATCTATCAAATTTTTATAACAGCCCATCTCACCAAAAGATCTCAGACTTTTCCCTATCAATGAGCAAGCAAGACATGTATAGTCTATGGAGCTTATTTGGAGCTATATTGCATATACTGTGGGTGGCAACTATAGCAAAGGCTGACTCCACAAGTACTTTTTTTAAATGCTCTTGGAAAAGATCATATCTCTATATTCCTTTACGTTATGCATGTACAGGATGTTCCCCCAGAAGAAAATGTTCATTGTCCTAAGACTGGATCAATATCCATCAGGGTTTTACCATATTAATTAGTTCCTTCCGCTGTAGGACTCAGGACTACAGCATAAAAAGGCACAGCAATACAAAGGGTGTCTTTAAACACGCATAATATATTTCCCATCATTCAACAACAAGTTCCCCAATGTAACTGGAATTAGGAACAATCAAGATGGAAGACTTGAGCTACAGCATCTGTTAATTTTGAGCCATAAGCAGATTTGGGATCAAGAGAGGATTATTATAGATTGCTTTGCTTATCAACTGAAAGGATTTTAAGAATAGGGCAATTAAAGGCTAGGAAGCTATGAGGACAGCAGTAAGAGTGGGTCTAGGACAGGGGTCTTCAAACTTGGCCCCTTTATGACTTGTGGACTTCAACACCCAGAATTCCTTAGCCAGAATGCCTGGCTGATGAATTCTGGGAGTTGAAGTCCACAAGTTATAAAAGGGCCAAGTTTGAAGACCCCTGGTCTAGGACAACTCACCACGGTCAATTTACCATGGCCAACTTACCAAGGCCAATTAGCCACAGCCAACTTGCTCTGGCCAACTCACCACAGCCAACTTGCCGCAGGACAAAAGTTATATAATACTGAAGAAATAGTGAAATAGAATCATTAAGGAAAGGATGCAAAAGGAGGGACAAAATGAAATGTGAATGACAAATATTAAAATCCATTTTTTATTATTTTAAATAATTAAATAAAATAGTTGAATTGTCCCACGGCGAGCTGGCCATGGTGAGTTGACCATGGTGAATCGGCAGCGGTGAGTTGGCCATGGCAAGCTGTCCCATTCTGGTAAGAGGAGGATCAACCATGACAAAGGGCATAGTGTCCCACAAAAATAACATTTAGAATACTACCAAATGAGATGAGGAGAATTTAACACTTCAATATAGAAAGATCTGCAAGAATGGAACTGCAAAAAGAGGGTAAAAAAACCACACCCCAAAATTGGAAATAAAGCATTAGTTTTATATTTCAAAGTCCTACACTCACAATAAATATTTTGGAAGAAATCTTTTAAGACAGGGATGTCAAACTCAATTTCATTGAGGGCCACATCAGCATTGTGGTTGCCCTCGGGGGCTGGGTGGGTGTAGCCAGGGTGGGTGCAGCCTACAGGGTGGGCGTCGAGTGGCTGTGGCCTATTGGGTGGGCATTGCCAGCTCTACATCGTTTGCGTCAAGGGGGCCTGTGGGGGCCTGGGCAGGAGTGGGACAAATCTGAGGGTCTCTGGAAGAAGGGGGTGGGACCAGGGCAAGTGCCAAGGCATGGTCCACTGGAGGAGCCTCACCATTCCTCTCAGGCCATGTGGGGGGGCTGGATGGTGGTGCGGGCTGCCGGGAGCCCTGGGCAGCAAATGCCCAGCCTGGCCCTCGAGCACCTGCAGCACCCACTTCCCCAAGGGGGTGCCCAGCTGCACTTACCTCCTCCTCAAGGCTGCTGCTGCTGTGCTTGCTCTCCTTAGCCAGGTTGCTCATGATGGGTACAAGGGCAAAGTTAGAGGGAGGCCCATTCCCTCTCCATGGGAGGAGACCTGGCTTTGTATCCAAAGCTTCCTTAGCAATAGGATGGGAGACCCTAGGATAGGCCAGGAGGAGGGGACAAGGGGATGGTAAAAGGGCAGCAGGACCGGACTAAGACAGGACTTCCCTCAGACCCTCCCTCTCCTTCTTTTCTTCTTTCCTTTCTTCCTTCCTAAGTACAGAGTGGTGAGAAATTATTTGAGATGAGGAAGGGAGAAAAACAGGCAAGAAATGCAGCTAGGGCCAGGGCCATGGCAGTGGGGGCCGTTCTCTCACTGTTTCCGTATGGCTTCGGGGGCCACATGAAACCACTTTGCGGGCCGCATCTGGCCCCGGGCCTTGTGTTTGACATGTCTGTTTTAAGAGATCTTCCAATATGCAAGCTCAATAAAACAACCCAACATAGTAAAAATTAATTCCCCAGCAAATAAAAATAGACAATCGTCCAATAGTCAATCTCCCCAAAGATTGTGAGACTGCATTGAGAATACCTGCGAAAGATCACAACCTGTCATTTAAAAGCTTCTTTTCAACTTAGAAAATATAATTTGCAACCAGTACAAAGCAAACTGGGAAAGATTTTGCAGAGTGAAGGAGGAATTATATGAGAATCTCGCTCATTGCTCCATGGTTTATTGAAAATAAATGTATTGTATTTAGTGACACTTACTCATAAGTAAACATGCACATAATTGTACTTCTGAGTGTCCAGCTCAGATGCTTTTATTTAAAAAACAAAACAGGGAATGAATAAATGCTCATAAATTTTATCTAGAAAAAAAAACTGTTGGCCTCAGACTGGAAAACAATCTCACTGCATTCTTTAAAAAACTGCATAAATTATTATACTGTTGTACTTTCTGTATAAATTATTAACAAGCATGAATAATTATTGATTCCTAGTCTAACTTGGAATTTCTCCAAAGTGCTTGTATTTTAAGTTTGCTTATAAGTCTAGTATCATCACTTTTACTTGACTTTTGGGTTTCTGCCAGAGGTGTATTGTCATCAGGAATTTATAACTAACAAGCTAATGTAATCATTTTGTCTAAAATCTCCACCCCCCCCCCACATATTTTTCATATACAATTTACTTGAAATTAGATTTTTTTGTCCTTCCCATTTTTTCATCATATAAGGATAGCTATGTGTCTGAGTAAATTCTTATTCATTTATTTTTATTTAAAGAGCAATGTTTCAACAATGACATTTTATCCAGAAAAGCATACATTGCATAAACATTTGTTTCAGAGCCAAAACACTTGTTTTCAAATGACGCTTCTTTTGTATATTCAGATTACCCAGTTACTGACTAATGTTCATTTATATATGCTGTCCTAGCAATATGAAGCTAAGCTGATTTTATTATATGACCTCATGTAGGATAAATTTAAGAATATCTGAACAGGCTAATTAGAAATACATTTTTCTTCCATTTTTGCATTTAAGAAGTTATGGAAAACATGCATAGTGTTTTGTTTAACATCCAGACAGTTTAAAAAAGGCTATTGTATATAAAAAATTACATTATCAATGACTCTCCTACAAAAAAGGTCTGTTTCTTTAAATCCAAAATCTAGTGTTGCTAATCCATCAAGAAATGTTCATATAACTAAATCTTTGCTACACTAGTGAAAATCATAAATAGGATCAACTATGAGATGGCTTTTTATATGCTTGTTAAGAACAATTTATGCAGCACTGGAGAACCAATGATGTAAAAGATTTTTGTAAGTATTAAAGTCAGAATCGTGCAAGCAACAACTATCAATAGCAATAACATTTAAGAATTATAAGGATGGAAAACTGAGTCAACCTTGAGCTGGTGAGGATTAAACTCCTGGCAGTGAGCAGTGAGTTAACCTGCAGTGCTGCATTCTAACCACTGCGCCACCGTGGCTCATGCAAAAAGCTGCTTCAATTTAAATCCAATGGCCTAGTAGATTACTTACCAAGCCCAATTAATATTATCTAGATATAAATCAGTAAACTTTAGAATAAAAACTAATGGTGATTAGCATTCATCAACATTATTACAATAATACAACAATAAATCAACCAAAGGAAAAGGAAGTCCCAATTAAACAGAGAACTGCTGTGAATTACCTGAAAGACAATACATAGAAAAAAGAGGCCATCTGGATACATCATTAAAACTAAACCCTGAAATGTCTTCACCAGTAAATTAGGCAAATCTGTATGTTTCTGTAGCTCCTTATCAGAGAATTTAATTCATTTTCCAAATTGTTTTTCTTCTTAGAAAAGTGACATCAACAATGCATCCCCCAATGAGTAATCATGTCATCCAGAAATAATGTGTCATGCATTTGGTTGGAGCGCTTAACCAACACAAAGAAGGATAAGTATTTTGGAAGTAACATTGGTTTTTTTCTGGAAAGAACTTATGCACATTAGGACCTAGTGAATTTATTAATGAACTATTTAGAAATTAAGCATGACATGTGAATGTAATCTTTATAGTTATTAGTGTGGGGTGGTAATTTAGAAAAAATGCTGAATATTACTCTGTCTTAAAATACATATAGATCAGGTTTTTGACATAAATGTCTAATCTAAGTAACATTTTGTGCACTCTTATTGATGAGGACATTATATTTTTCTAGCAAAGCAATAAAAAATGGCCCAATCCAAATAATTGCTATTAGATAAAGTGTATTCTTTTTTAAAAAAACAAATTGCTTTTTTGTTGTTTTAATTGTGCTTGTTACTTTACTATGATATCTCAATGTTATGCCAATCAAAAAACATTTTATCTACACACTGCAATGCTAATTCTATCAAATCAAGCATAATTTCTCATTCCAGGATCATCCAATAGCTCAATGAAAGGCAGAATATACTAAACTCCTAAATTTTGATTGTATGTTCTGGAGTGACATGTAACTACTTTCTTTCCATAGTAAAATACAGACTGAACTATTCCAAATATACTGCTTATGCTTATTATACTCCAAAACAGTGGTTCTCAACCTGTGGGTCGGGACCCCATTTGGGGTCGAACGACCATTTCAAGGGGGTCGCCAAACAAGGCTGTCCGCCAATTTTTCCCCCTTTTCTTTGGCCATGCCCCTGGCACCCAGTGATGTATAAGTGGTTGGGGGTCACCACAACATGGGGAACTGTATTATGGGGTCGCGGCATTAGAAAGGTTGAGAACCACTGCTCCAAAAGAAGTGTCTTCATTTTGTCTAGAAAACTGAGTTACTAGAGATATTATGATGTCCAGATTTTGCACTGAGGTTTTTTTTTTAATCTCACTACTGGGTTTAATTTTATTGAAGGTACATTTGAGAAAATTAATCACCCAATATCCACTTTTAATACCAATAATGCAGATATAAAAAGTTATTGTCCCAAAAAATGGATGAATGGGAGGGCAGAATCTTTTCTTAGCAACTGTGTGGTGACAAACCATAAATCCAAATTTATTCTCTGAGGAACAAAAATGTATACATATGGAGAATAGTAAATGTCAAGGAAAGAGATTACCATATTCACAATGGGGTTCCCCCCCCCAAGTTTGATCATTATATGTTACCTTTATATGGAATTCTAGATTTTCATCCATGGAATAAATGTGATCAAAGATGTCATGTGCAATTCTTGGAATTATTCCCATCAGCTGTGGGTCATGCAGTTTCCCCTAAAAGCGCAAAAAGAAAATGAAGTTAATCATATCATTTTCTGGAAATTAAAGTAGTCATCTACTACTTATTCAAGGAAAAGCCTAATTAAGATGGCTAATTTATATTGATGTTACTATACTGGTATTAAACAGTGCCACAGAATTTCTATGACGGAGTCCAATATCAATCCACAGTTCACCTCCAGCTCTAGCAAAGCCAAAACCAAGTCATTATTTTTTAACATAGAGTAATAATGTCAACCAAGCTATTAAAAACAAATAAAAGGGAGACTTCCATCTTAAATACTAAAACTGAATTACCTAATAGTAAGAAATTAATGAGAAATGGAAGAATGGAAGATGGAAATAATAAAATCTGCTGATTGTTTGGTCAGGCTTAATGCCAGCAGCGTCTTATACACAATCAGCTTCCTTTGCTTTACTCAGACCTTTAAAGAAAAAAAACGAAAAAAATATTTTTCCTGACTACATGCCTTTTTCCCCAGAGGTAGAAATTAGCCAGGGCTACAATAATGAAACTCTATTGGCGTCAATAGTAGAAACATAACAAAAGCATGAAATATGAAAATAAGGAATGGAAAATGTGGTTTGTCTTCTTTCACCTCATGATTTTAAGATCGTGGTCATTCTGGCTGAAATACTGGGCTCTTAATACATATGTATATGTATCCAGGGATACAGGTAGATACACAGAATGATTTCAAGAACAAAGGACATCATACAAATCCTCCCCACAAAATGAAGAATGTTGCAAACATCAGAACCTAATATTTTTCATTAGACATATGAAATTTAAAACTGAAAAGATATAAAAATTCATTGATTATTACTCTGCAGGGCTACGAACAGATATTCACGTGTGTTCAGGCAGACTCAAATACTTCGCAAAGTGTGCTTGGTAATAAAGAATATAAGAGAAAATGAATGGAGACAAATTGCAGGATATAATCATTTCAGGGAATAAAGAACATAGACTCAGAGCACTAACGTCAGATTTCAAAAGAAGCAGATTGATGCAAACCAATTTTCAGAAATTTCTATCTCAATTACTCACATTATAGTCCAATGTGAGAAATTCAATATACATTTATTCGGTTTCAGAATTAAGAATATGAAACATAAAATTGATTGAACTCTTTTCTGACATGGAGGTTAGAGGCGGAAAAAATCATGATAAGAAATGAAATATCTGGGTTATCTGGATAACCTGCAATTTCCTGAAATTCTAGGGCAGCACTAGTTTTCCACTGTAAAAAAATAAGCTTTTTTATTATCACCTGTGAACAATAGAATCTATTGTTTTGCATGTGAACAGAAATTTCCAAAATTTTTGCATAAGATTCAAAATTACATTCAAACCAAATTACTTTTTGTTAAACCTAATTAATCAGCTTGCATATGTTAAAATCAAAATGGAATAATAGCAAGACAATTTCATATCATTATGTCTGAGTGCCCCCTTTCTTATTTTATAGTTCTAGAATAATGAAGTTGACAAGTCTATTAAAATATTAACTAAAATAGTGCAAAAACATGAGAGCTTAAGATACATCTTTAAGATAATCTTCTTGAAGAGCTTAATCATTGATTTAATATGGAATAACCCATTTTTAAATCCAAAAGTTATTGCAAATAATTGATATCAACCTTGACAATATAATGTATAATCGGTTATTTAAAATGTTGTAGATTTAGTATTCAGAACACAATTTAACACTGACTGTAATCTAAATGTTTTAGATGCTACTAATGTATCTGGAACAAATTGTAAATCAAAATACGTTTTAATTAGAAATTCTTTCTGCAGTTTTAGAGAATCCAGATTCCTTTTGCCATGGCTTAAACGATGTAAAAACAATGACCTGATCTCAAATATCAATATTCTTAATAGCCATTCATGTTTACAGCATTTGTAAGAGTGTCTTACTTTTTATAAGGGACAAACCTGCATGTCACTAGTAACACTTATTATAAATCAAAGGGCTCATTGTAAGGGTGAACAATTATTATGAATATGTTCTTCTGCTTTCGTTGTGTTTTCTTGCACACTTGTATTGGTTTTATAATTTTGATATGGTCAGGTGACTAAATCAATAAAGTTTCCATTCTACTCACTTACATCATGCACATATTTCAATTTTAAACCATCTATTTATATCTTTATTAAAAAACATTTCTAAAATGGTTATTCTATAAAGAAGGTTTACTTGGAATAGTAATTCCAAAATATTTAAAATTATTTGAACGCCAAAGTAACTACCAAATTGATCTCTGTGGGACCTTATGCTATAACTATATTTGGAATACTGGAAGATATGCAGAGCTGGTAAAAATGAAAAAGAGCCCTTGATTTAGATAATCAAAGGGCAGAAATTATACCATCCAGAAGACGTTAACCTCTGAGTTGAACATCAAGGAAGCCAATCAAGCAGTACTGATAATTATAAATATATTTGGGGAGGTAAAATTAAGAATGCAATTAGGTAGACTCCAATTTTTTTTTATCTTCTAGATGAACTCTCGAATGGCTGCTGCCACATAAAAACTGTATTTAGTTATTATTTCGAACTATTTTTGAGACATTTTTTTTAATCCAATTCATTGCTTTACATGGAGAAGCATGCCAATACCTGAGCAGTGTAATTGTCATGATTCTGACAAATGAAACTCTTCAAAAGAACTTTGAGGCATTGTTTACCTTAAAGAATCTTTATTTTGAATAGCATAATATCGGCACTGCATAATCGAAGCCAAAAACTGAATTCCCCTCCTCTGAGTACATAGTATGAAAGCACAATTCCCTCCTTCAATTAACAGTCATAAATCACATCCCCCAATCAGCGTGAAGCGCAGGCCTCCTCTCCAGTTCTCCAGCCCGCCAATTCCTTATCAGCTCTGGTTACAATAACCTTGTTTCTCATGCTAGGTTTAGTATTGTTATGTTTAGCAGGACTCTCATTCACATCCCCCCTCCCAGCATCATCTAACTCTAAAAGCAAAAGGTAAAAGATGGCTACATTTCCCTCTGTTGTCAGTGCAAAAACATCCAATGTTAGCAGTGTTGACAGTAATATCCCACAAAAAAATCTAGCACATCAATCCCTTTCATATTTCTCAGCTGCAGCTCTTTTTTGCATGGAGAGTCAAAGAATTTGAACCTAAACAATTAAGAAAATTAAAAATGAAAAACAGAATTTGGAATAGTTGTCTGACTCTGACATTGCCTTTTAAATTGTCTGTATGCAAGTAACATGTGGGAAGCAAACATTGTTAAATAAAAGGATGTTCCAGTAACAGACAACATTCCTCTAACAAGATAGAGGATTGTGATGACACCATATATTACACTGCAATAAACACTTGGCTACGAAGAAATGATTTGACTACTGTTTCCCAAGTGTCTTAAGACTGAATGACTCGTTGTTGATCATATCCATTTGAGAATTTCTAAAAAGGGCCCAATTTAGACTTTGAGTGCATAATTTAAAATGAAGGTCATTTTATAATACTTCAACCTTCAGAGGCAATTGTCAGATTTACTTTTATGTTATTATGGTCTTTTTGGAGGACATGGCAAACAAAATCCCCATATGCTATTTATTGCTTGAAAATCTTGAAGGATTAACATTTGAAATATGAAGTATTTCATAGTAAAGGTTTTAACTTGAGGAATGAGTAATTCCCCATCCTTACAGAGACTTCCCTCTGAAAGGGATGCTTTACATTACATAAGAAGGATTGAATTAAAAAGAGGATTTAAAAGCATCTACCATACGATAGATTTAAATCCTTGTAATGAGACACATATAAAAAGAGGCTGCTGATGCCTTTCTCCTTTTTTTCCTTATTGCAATCTGAGCCTGTAACTGCCAACGTGATCTATGTGTCATTTCCCTATAGAGAAATTGAAGACAATCCCTTTGCCTGACACTACTACAAATCTGTTCTCTGAAAGGTAATAAGGAAAAGTGTTAATGAGAAATGTAGACATTCTATTGAGAAAATCAATTGCTTTACTAAAAAAAAAAAAGATTGATTTCCCTTTTGCGGCAAACAGAATGTCTATTTATTAATGTGGCTTTATTTCACCCCTCCTTTAGATAATTTGAGGGACTGCTTCTTTCTTAATGAAGTAAAATGCAAGCAAATCACCAAAATATAATTTAAAAACGGGTGGGTAAGTTGTAACCCCAGGACCACAGGAAACTCATTCACATCTTAAGAAGGTGCAATTTGGTGACAAAATGGCCCTTTTTGGGCAGTATAGAAGTAGAGGTAACATGTCCTGGAAATCTAGAAAAAACCCACAACCACACCACTATAATCCAATTATTTTGATAGTGAAAGGCTGTTGCCTAATTTCAGTCCTTTTGGTGGGGATAAAGATAAGTATAGAATTTTTTTGTCCCCTGGGGCCTCCCACCTTTACTTTTCCCCTTTACACCTCCCAAAAGTGTATGAGTATCACCCCAAATTCTCCCCATTCTTCTGGTGACATTATCATGGCCTCCTGCAGCTATCCAGATGATCAGGAGACAGGTTTGCAGCCTGGCAACTTTGGAAAGTCCTTATTTCTACCCAAGTCTCAATTTGGAAGAGATTTGATATCTAGGACAGGGTTCTTCAACCTATGGGCCGTGGCCTGGTACCGGGCCATGGCCTATTGGCCACTGGGCCCTGGGAATGTGCAAGCATATTTCCCCGCTTCTCCCTTTCCCTCTGGGCCACCAACCCGGAAAAGTTGGGGAGCTCTGATCTATGACATTCCATTTTTATACAGTTCATAGAAAACCAAAACTGTGCATCTACCGCATCGCTTTAAAGTAACTGCATCTTTTCCTGGGAAAAGCACAACAGCAGTGAAAGGCAGCTTTAAACTTTACATCAACTTTAAATTTCAGTCTTACCTCCATAGTATGTGTTTTTCCTGAAGACGTTTGACCATATGCAAAAATAGTTCCATTGTAGCCTTCAAGAACATCTGTTTAAAAAAAACCACAATAGAAATCTCTTACTGTTATGAAGTACTACCGGTGCAAATCACCAAAGGAAAAAAGGTATTATATGAATTAGTCATTATTTAGTAAGAAAATTGGAAAGAATTAAGGAAACAGTTACAGACATCTAATGGAAAGTGTATCCTGTTGCCAAGAAAGGTAAACACAATTAAATATTTCTCAACATCCAGATCTAATATAGGCAGTTAACAGCCTTTATGGTTTTCTAAATCATGATCCTTTCAATAATGTTCAGATTTCACCTTTACTTACAGAATTCTTCTCCATTTTCTCCAGGATTTCTGTACATATTTTAATTTCTTTGTTTATTGGAAACAAGCAAGAATATAAGCCCAAGAGATGGAGCTAGATTAATCCGAAGCTTAAACACACCAAGTTGAGAATTTTAATATGCATCTCTAAAAGCACAGAGGAAGCAATCTAATCTAAATAAAGATTAAATAATAAATTAATTAAATAAAGAAGGTTAAGCAATGGCCCCAGTTAGAACCTGGGTGAGAAACTATCAGGACTGATTGGAAAATTGAAAAAAGTTCCCTATGGAAAAAAGCAATGACAAACTACTTCACAGTTCTATCCCTAAAAATCTGATCTGAGAAAAAGGGCATTGTCTTACCTGAACGCCTGTTCTCAGCAGGATGATGTAGAGTCCACTGGATGGGTTCTATGACAGTCTTCCCGCCCGACAGACTAGGTCAAAACTTTGGCCACACCCTTCCTTTGGGCGTGACTCCAGTTTTGACTGAGACGAGTTGTTTGTTGAATTTATATATATAGCAGCTCCTTGTTCGATGCCTGCCTAGACCTTCTACATGTGGGGGTGTGGACTCTACATCATCCTGCTGAAAACAGGCGTTCAGGTAAGACAATGCCCTTTCTCCAGCAGGATGGCTGTAGAGTCCACGGGATGGGACATACCAAAGCCCTAATGTCCCCCTGGGAGGGAGTGTCTAGGCCACTGGATCCTGAGCAGAAACAACTTGCTGTAGCACTCTTCTACCAAAGGCAGCATCAGCTGCGGCAAAGGAGTCTAAATGATAATGCTTAACGAATACGGAAGGAGAGGACCAAGTTGCGGCCTTACAAATCTCCTCCACTGAGGCTTGTGTGGACCAAGCTGCTGATGTGGCTGCGCTGCGTGTTGAATGAGCAGTCACGTGTGGGGGCACTGGAATTGCCTGAGAGACATAGGCTTGGGCTATACAAGCTCTGATCCACCTACCTATGGTAGAAGATGAAACCTTCTTCCCCATAGTGGATGGTTGGAAGGAAACAAATAAAGCCTCCGTCTTACGGAAAGACGAAGTGCGCTTTACATAGTAACACAGCGCTCTACGCACGTCCAGTTTGTGCCATCTATGTTCTAGCCTATGTTTGGGATTTGGACAGATATCAGGAAGAGTCAGTTCCTGAGATCTGTGGAAGATGCTGTTTACCTTCGGAATAAATGTAGGGTCCGGTCTGATGACCACCTTGTCCCTGAAGAAGGTACAGAGATCCTTCCTGACTGATAATGCTGCTAGTTCAGAGATTCTTCTCGCTGAAGTGATAGCAACTAGAAAGGCTACCTTCAAGGATAGATGATGGAGAGAACATGAGTCGAGAGGCTCAAATGGGGCTGAAGTCAAGGCTTGAAGAACTTTAGGCAAGTTCCAAGATGGATACCTGTGTATAACAGGTGGTTTAGTATTGACTGCTCCCTTTAAAAAGGCGCTAATCGCCGGATTTGCGACGGAGAAGTTAAGTTGTCACAGGAAAGTACAGTTGAGAGGGCCGATACCTGTCTATGAATGGTGTTGACTGATAGGCCCTTATTAAGTCCTTCTAATAGGTAGTCTAAGATATTGGGAATAGACACTGAAATTGGATCTAGGTGACGTAGAAAGCACCACCTGCAGAACCCCTTCCATGTAGCGTCGTAGATCCTGTTTGTCAAAGGTCGTCTTGATGCTTGTATGGTCGATATCACCCCTGAGGAATAGGATTGCATGGCTAAACTTTGCCGCTCAAATGCCAAGTGGCTAGTTGCAGCCACTGAGGGTCTGGATGGAGAAGCTTGCCCTGACTGAGTCTTACTCAGTCCGGGGGAATCTTCCACGGGGGTGACATTGAAAGATCCACAAGGTCTGCAAACCATGGATGCCGTGGCCAGTGTGGAGCAATCAAGAGTACTTCTGCACCTTCCAGGATCAACTTGCGTATGGTCGCCGGTATCAATGGGAGTGGTGGAAAGGCGTACAGGAGTTGCGCCGGCCACCGACACCTGAGAGCGTCCGTTCCTTCCGACCCCGGAGTCAGGAATTTGGAGAAGAACCTGGGTAGTTGCGTGTTCTTCGGAGTGGCAAATAGGTCCAGGTGCGGTTGCCTGAACCTCCGGGAGATCTCCTTGAACAGAGCCGGATCCAGACGCCATTCCGATTGGTCCACCTTGGCTCTGCTAAGGGAGTCTGCCTGGAGATTTGCCTCCCCTGAGATGTGTTCCACTCTGATGGAACTCAAATTTGCTTCTGCCCACCGAGCTAGAGCTGATGCTTCCTGCATCAGTTCCATGGATCGTGTTCCTCCCTCCTTGTTGACATGGGCTTTTGCTGCCACGTTGTCGGTTAGAACGAGAACGTGTCTTCCGTTACTAGGTGGGAGAATTGGCATAGAGCCAGGTGTATGGCCCGAAGTTCCAGCCAATTGATGCTGTGAGTGAGGTCCGATTGTTTCCACTGGCCCTGCGCTATCTGAGTTCCCAGATGGGCTCCCCATCCGAATAGACTCGCATCTGTCGTGAGCGTGAGCTGGGTCGGCTCCCTGAATATGTTTCCCCTGAGCATCATGGGTGATATCCACCAGTTCAGGGACCTCAGTAAGAGATTTGGTACCAAGACCCTCCTGCTGGAGTACTGAAGTTCCCTCTCTGATAAGGGAGGAGGAACCACTGTAACTCCCTTGAGTGGAGTCTGGCCCATGGCACAATGCCCATGCAAGATATCATTTTCCCCAGGAGCTTCGAGAGTTGTATCAAAGGTACTCTCTTGTCTCTCTGAAGCTGATGAACCAGCTTCGAAATGCTGCTTCGACGCTCCTGGGAAAGATATACCCTGCACTGGGATGAGTCTATCACCGCTCCCAGATGCTGAAGCCTCCTTGTGGGAGTGAGATGGCTCTTTTCTAGATTGACTGAGAATCGGTGATCCTGCAAGATGCGGATTGTGGTCTGAAGGTCTAATCTTGCTTGCTCGTGTGAGCTGGATTGAATCAAAATGTCGTCCAGATAAAACTGTACGCGCACCGGCATCAACCTGAGATGGGCCGCTATGACTGCTAGAATCTTGGTAAACACCCTTGGAGCTGAGGAGAGTCCGAAGGGTAGAGCCCTGTACTGGTAATGCCGGTTTGCGTAGGTAAATCTGAGGAACATGCGGTATTTGGGATGGATGGGAATATGCAAGTACGCCTCCGTAAGATCTATTGAGGATAGGAGGTCTCCCTTCCTGATACTGGCCAAAAAGGACTTTAGGGACTGTATTTTGAACCTTTTGTAGGTTACATAATAATTCAGACCCTTTAGGTCCAGTATCGCCCTCCACCCTCCTGATGTCTTTGGGATCACAAAGAGGATGGAGTAGAATCCTTTCCTTTCCTCTTCCTTTGGTACCCTTTCTATGGCCTGAATTGACAAAAGGTATGCAATGGCCGAGGTTACCAACCTTGCTTTGGATGTCTTTCTGGAAATGGGACACCTGATGAATCGGTTTGGTGGGGGAGAGTAAAACTCTAAGGTCAGGCCATGCCTGATTGTTTCCAATACCCAGGTGTCGGTGGTGGTCTGCTCCCAGACCTCGATGAAGTTCCCCAACCGACCCCCTATGGGAGTGTCTTGCCTGGCATCACTTGAGACGTTTAAAGGGTCGGGCTCCCGATCCTCTGAAGGGACGCCTGGATTGGGATTGGCCTCTGGCTCCCATGTTTGGGCGATCCTGGGAATGATCCTGTCTCGAATAGAAGGATCGTGAGCCTCTAGACCAGTCCCAGGATTGCCCTGATCGAAAGGGCTGTCTCCAGTCCCAGGAGTTTCCTGGGCAGAAACCCTATCTCCGGAATTCTTGAGTGCCTCTCCTATCCAGCTTCTTTGATGGGTGGACTAGAATCTTTCTCTTGTCACTGCTCTCGCTTACATGTGGATCCAAAATGGATCCAAACAAGAGTGACCCACTGTACTTGGACGTTGATAGCCGCCACTTGGCCTTTAGGTCTGTTTTCCAATTTTTAAGCCACAGTAGTCTACGGGAGGCTACTGTGGCAGCAATTGACCTTGCTGCATACTTGGTTGCGTGAAGTGAGGCATCAGCCATAAATTGTGAGGCAGCCAGTATTTTGGCCAAAGTTTGGTGAGTTCTGACCTGATCAGGAGGTACAGTGGTTTGCAGCTCGCGAAGCCACATAATACAGGCCCTGGCGAAGAATGACGAGGAAGTTGCCGCCTTGGCCACCCAGGCTGCGGCCATGTGGGAGCGACGGAGGGAGTGCTCAAATTTCTTGTCCTCTGGTTTCAAGGCCTCCGCCATGTCTCCTGGAATCGCAGAAGTGGAGAATAATGAAATCAAAGGACTATCTACTGTGGGAACCTCTAGCATGTCTGAAAAGGAAGGAGACACATTAAATAGTTTCCTCTCCACACTGTTAGGTGCAGGTGGAGTTGCTAGGGAAAACCATTGCTCCTCTACAGAGGAGCGGAAAATCTCTGGACAAGGAATATACTTGTCCTGTATTACTTTTTGGGCAAAAAGAGGGTTTGCCTCCTTACTTGTGGAAGGATTTTCATCCTGAACTGAGGTTAGATTGACCGTAGAGACTGCCTTTATTAAAAGTGATTTGAGAAGAGCTGGATCAAAGAGGCTAGAGTTTGTTGCCTGCTCAGGAGTGGTCCCCTCATCCTCCGAAAGAGGCATGTCATTCATGTCCAGATCTATTG